TGAGTTCATATCACCAAAAGCATTGCCTATTGGGGAGGCTGGTGAAAATAATACTGCAGGTCCAAATAGCCCTAGACCAAGGGGCTTAAAAACATTCTGGAGGGTGAACTATGAATCTAAGTAAGTGTCTGAGTAAATCAATCACAGGATCCCTCCATTCTCTACTTCTGGATAGGTTAAACTGTCCAAAACATGAAACCCAAAGTACGTTCTAACTATTGGGAAGCAATGTATGTGCAATGTATTGTGAACTGGATGGCAAAATGGGTTGGGGTCCTAACCTTGTGATTTACTTGGTCGTAACTCATCACACACTCCATGTATCTGTCCCCTTACCCCCAGTTATACAGCAAGGAATCTGTAAGTCCCAGAGAATAAAGCAAATAATCTAGTGTCTCAAAAGCATCAAACTATGATTCTCCATAGATTAAAAATATGCATATGCAAAAACTTACATATACCATACTGGAATGGTTTATGATTTAAAAACAAACATACTCTGGACGAGAGGGAAGTCTTTATCTACAGGTTTTTATCATTAATATTAAATATGTATCTACACATAAAGATGTGTGCAATATATATGATATAACTGATGGCAACTTACAGCAGCCTCACCTTCTGAGGGACTCCCTTAGTACTGCTTTCAGATTTTTATAGTTGTTAAATACATTTAATCAAATATTTAGCTTAACACTATAAAGCAAGGAAATTATATATAAATGTAAAAACACTATATGGTTTCATGGCACGTTTCAAGAATGGCTTGATATGAGCAAATTATTTTCTCTTTCTGTTGATAGCTGTATGCCTAAAAACAAGCTGGCTCTTTAACTTTTACCCCCGACTCTCCCTACAAAAAAAAAAAAAAAACACATTCAACAGTCTATATTGATAGCAAGATTTAGCAGGGAGACCGCCCCCCACAACTGAGTTAAAGTGCGTAGAAACCCCTCAACTTGCAGCCAACAAAGGAAAGGCTGGTGAGCCACATTAACGAGGGTCCAAAGCACGTGCTCCCTAAGCACTCATAGTACCAGTGTACATTAGAAACCACCAAATCACCATAACAAAATCCAAGCCGGGCAACCCTATCACTCCCTTCATCTAGATGTTCACCTCTTCTTGTGTTCAATATATTTATTCTTTAACGCATGGGCCCAACTACATGCATCAAACCTATAAATAGCCATATTCAAAGCTTGCAGCCTCCTCTTAGGATACAGTTTTGCCCTCCTTAGATCCCTTAAAGAACTGTGTTGAAACCTTTGACAATTCAGGACATTTGAATTTTTCTAATTCTCTCTCTATTCATAATTAACTTGTTTTACTAAGTGATAAACTTTTCAAGAGTATATATCCTGACTGAGCTGATTACTTGATTAACAAAAGCTGCTTTATACTTAGCAAGAAAATGGAGTTCTGTGTCTTCTACCAGCATCTATGATATAGTAATAGGCTGGTTTGTTAAAAATGCGTATTTTTAATCTATAGAGAATCATACTTTAAAACTTTAGAAACATTAGATTATTTGCTTTATAATTGAAGTAAAACTTCAGTTCTTTCACAGTTCTTGACAGTCTAGAGATTAAATGGCAGGAGAAAAAGAAGAGGTAGATAAATTCTCTAACCTATCTTTTGATGATTAAGTTCTAAATTTTAAAAATTACCAAAGCCTGAAAGGAGAACTATGGTAACCATACTTGAAAAGGAGAAATCATACATTGTCCAAAATTAACAAAGATGTAAGAAAAAAATACATTAAAAATTTCAAAAAATAAGTCACCAAAGGCTACCTTTCCCTTTCCCTTAAATATTTAGAAATCAAGGCATAATTTATATATAAGAAAATAAGCATACTACATATGTGTAGTATGAATAAATATGACAGCCAATTACTTAAAAGATATTCCTGGGAAAGCCCTATGGGAAATATTCTTCTCTTCACTCTATTTTTTTATCTTTCAGCAAGAAAGGAAAGTCTGGACACTCGCACCTCCACGCAAATCAACAAAACCAACCTCAACAATCAAGGAATGTTCCAGTTTATTTTTCTTCATATTCTAAATATGCCTGAGTGAGAAACAATATAAATTACTCAATATGCGACCTTCTAGTAACAAATGATCAATCTAACAAATAATATAAATTGAAATGCATTTTTAGAGGGAAATTTTGGAAATATGACCCAAAACCTTTGACAATGCAATTTACTCTAAAATGTAATCACAAAGATGTGTACAAAATATTTAGTTTTACGAATATTTACTAGTGCTTTTCATAAAGAAAAAAACTAAAATAACACTTCTAAAAACAGAACTGGTTGATCAGCCCATAGAATCTATTACATTGAAATATTGTCAAGCCATTAAAAGTTATGCAGGTAGCATATTCACTGAAATGGAGAATTGTTTATAACAGAGCAAGAGGGAAAAGTGTTATAAAAATTGTTTCCAAAATCCTTCTTTTAAAGGTTACTTACAATCTCCTCTTAAAAATAACTTATACATTAATAAACCAGTTTTGCATGCAAAAAATAAGAATTTTTATATCGTTTTTAATATGTATTTTTCTATAGTTAATATATTATTTGCAAAATGTATGTTTTAAGGGTAAACATACTATTAATAGATGATTACTTATATAACCTATATTTTGAAGACAAAGACTGTGAACAATATAAAAATATAAATGAACTAGTTAAAGAAGTCAGAAAACAGAATTAATTCTATGAAGAGCCCCAAAAACAAGATAATTAATACACATGAACATTGAAATTAGCTCTGAACTTCCTGATAGATTAGAATTTATGGCAAACAGAATTTATAGGAATGAAAATTTAAAAGCCTAGAAGATGGAACATCAGACTGGACTTTACTTTGACTCCCCAAGGAAAACCATCAGCCTACAAAGAAATGCTAAAACAGCAAAACAACGCTGATCATAAATTTTCAAGTAACCGAGAAAGAGTTTTTCTACAGGTCATTAAGCAAAGAGCTTCACTTCTGTGTCAGCATCATGGTGGCAGAATATATTTCCTTCATTTCTCCCCTTAAGTCTGAATCAATGGAGCAACAATAAGATCAACAAATAAGTTCATTATTTCAGTACACTAGAAAGATCCATGCATTTATGTGACAAAGGTGGGTGGAGGTGTGTTTGTGAACAGATGGCAGGACTGCCAGCCTTTTCAAAGGCCCTGGGCAAAAAATGATTACAGACTATGTAGAGACCTGTACCTTTGGCACAGGTGAATACCAAAGCAGTAGAGTGAGGTGCTCCATAGGTCAGGGACCCCAGCAAGGAGGATCACAGAGAAAGCAATCCATATAGCAGCCCCTCAAAGGGATTTGTATAGACACATGGAAGTACTACCAGATGAAAGACAGCTGAGTCTCAGATCTAGAACCCCAAGGAGAAAAAAAAAAATGACGTCACACACATAAACCCTCAACATGTTCACAACAGCTGCTGGACCCTCTCCACACCTGCTCTCCCCAATAACACAGGAGCAGCCCATTCACGACCTCCATGTTACCTAAGGCAACTATAGAAGCTAACAGTAATCAAAATATAGTCACAGTATCACCTGTTAGAAAAACACAAGCAGTTAATTACTAAGATGTCAATGTAGATTTTAAAAAGCCAAAAAGCAATAAATAATTTCAGAAAGTTGGCAAATAGGCTAAATGTGCAGCCTGAAAAATATACCAACAAGCAACTTGAAACTTTGGGGTAATATGACATTACAAGGAGAACATGATAACTCTCCAGAAGCCAAATGTAAAGACATGGAAGATCTGACCTTAACAGGTAGAGAATTCAAAGTAGCTATCATGAAGAAACTTGATAGAAGACTCTTAAAAACAATTCAGTAAGAACAGGAGTAAAATTAGTGAGTGAAAAGAGTTTTTGACAAATAAATTCATTGAAGAAAGACTTCACAATGATTGCTGACCATAATTACAGTAGAGAATAGACATCTATTTCCTAGAACAGTTATGAATTGACAGAGAAAACTCAAGAAAGTTTCCAATGAGAGATAGTCTAGAATTAGAGAAAAGGTCAACAGAAACCTCCATACTGGAAAATTAAGTGATCATTTCTATGACATCAACTTATTCAGACTCTCAGAAGCATGTGGCATAAGTTTACAGTGGATTCTTCTTGAAACACCATCTTCTGTAGACAGCTGGAAAACCATCTCGAGTTTTCCTCCTACTCAGCTAGCTGCTCTTTCCCAGAATCTTTAAAGGTCTGTTTTTACTGATGTAACCCCTGAATGGCACAAGGCTGAGGGCACTTGGTCTACACCTTTTTCTCCAATCTTCGTACCCAATCCCACTGCTTTAAATACAATTAGATGGTAGTGACTCCCAAATCTGTAGCCTCACCTGTGATCTCCTTAGGTTCTTTCATCCAAATGCTTCCTTGACAAGTATACTTTAATATTAATAGATTATCAAACATAACTTAGGATTTTTCACAGCAAACCAGTCTCCCTTATAAATATAAGCAAAAGATTATCCCAGTTGTTCATCAATCTCTTTTCCTTATACTGTACATCAATCTATTAGCAGGACCAATTCTAAAAAAGAGCTCAATTAACCTTTGGCTCTAAGTTTCTTTAAGAATGAAAAGAAAAGGCTGGTTACAGATGCTGACAGACAGTATATACAGGTGAAATAACTGAAAGTTTGGAAAACCAGCAAATACGATTACTTAGAAGCACTTTACATACAATCACAGAAGAGATGGAACAAACTGAGAGGGAGGTGTAAATGTTGCTCCAAGAAGGTAACAAGAGAGTCCACTTAGAAGCAAACTGCTCTCCATAATTTTGTACCTTATCTCTATGAGGTAAATAATAACATGGAAAGAGGAAAAATGGAAGTTTTAACATGTATTTATTTTTTATGTTAATAGAATCTTCAAACAGCAAGTGTTAACAAAATAAAGTAGGAATTTAGAACTAAAAGAGCAATAAAGTTATTACATACTGTACAGAGGTCCTTATACTGCAGCTTTTGGAATTTTGTGTCTGTATTTCCTGCACATAGCTCCACATAACCAAGAACAACTTGAAACACAGTATTGTGAATGGCTTGGGTGAAATGCATATGAAGTTGATCCATTGCTGTCTATGGAAAGAAAAACAACAATATTATTTTGTTATTAAAATAAAATTTCATCAAATTGAAAAAAGTCTACCAATTATAGCTACAGCACAAAGATAACCATTACTCACAGAACTAAAAATTGCTATATTATTTTCAAAACCCTTCAAAAAAAACCCAACATATCCTTAAAGATTGAAGTCTAAACTAGGAGCACTACGCTGTTACTTTGTATTTATGACTGGCACCCATTCTGCTTTTACTCAATCTGTCATGCATAATCACACCTTGGATTCCCTCTGCCACTAGCTATTCATTCTCTTTCATTGTTCAGAACTTTACTCTGAGAGCCCCATCTCAGAGAAGCCCTCCCGGACTATCCTACATAAATCAGTACTTGGATTTTCCATCATTATCTACTTACACTGATATGTATTTCTTTATCGCATTCAAAACCACCTGACAGCATATTCATTTATTTCTTTAAGGTTTGTGTCCCTCACTAGAAGTAAAGATAACTAGTGACTAGAGTCAGTAGGATAAGTACTTAATGAGAGAAACAATTCATTTTATTGGGAAAATTAGAAATTACAATAATATTTTCAAAGGTCTTTAAGCATGTTCTCAAAATTAACACATATCTACCTTCTTGTATGTTTTTATATATATAATTTAATTATGAATAGTAAAGCAAAATGAACAACAAAATTTCTCTATTCAGATAATAAAAATGTATAGGTGCAATAATTTGATAAAGTCCTAAATTTCCTTCTAAGACAGAGTGGAGACCATTGAGGGGGAGAAAACATTTATACAGATATAAATATAAGTGTAACAGATGGTGTTATTCAGAGAAGCACAAAAGTTTACATACTTTGAGGACGTCATGGTGGCTCACTGAGAATCATGAAGCTTATTAAGGAGCTTTCATTTGGACCAACAGCTAAATGAAAGGAGATTATATCCCCTCCCACTAAACTATCTCATAATATTTTGAAAACTTATTTTAATCCTACATGAAATTATGAAAACATTAAACCTGGCAAACACTTTATGGCTCAAAAACATATCTGTAAAGTTTCACAATACTACATAACCTCTATTCCTATGTGAACCACCACGTTATAAAGCATAAAAACTTATTTTGCCAAAGACATTTTGAAAGGCTACTACATTCTAATAATTATACTCAAGCAATATGAAATTCTCAATTAAGGAAAAGCATACTTTCAGAACTAACCTGTGTTTTTCCAAGAAGTCGATAAGCTTGCTGAACCTTAGTATAATGGTTAATGTCAAAATTCTTGCAGATTTTGGAAAGCGCTACATCCAATTGTTCCTAAGTAATTAAAAGAGGAGACGAGACAGTTAAAAGTTGTATTTTCAAAGCAACGAAAATAAAATATTAAAACTAATTTTTCACTTTTAGTTAATAGCAACAATTTATTATTACTTTGAAATTAACAGTCAAAAGCTAACTTCAATAGACTGATAAATTACAACTGCCATTTACTGCTAACTATAGTCAAGTTTACTAAGATTTTAATTAATATTTAAGTTCCTAAAATTCCTTGCCAAGTACTTTAATAGACACAAAGTAAGGATAGTAGTTTCTAACAGAATTGTTTAATTTAACTTTGTTTTCTCAAGCATCTGTTAAAATTTTGTAATTATATGACTTGCATTTGTAGAGCTATTGAAGAATGATAAAATAATTCTATTTTCACTTAAAAGTAATTCTCAACAAAACAAAACAACACTAACCTATAAAGTACGTATCTCAAGATATAAGTTTTCATAACTAAATGTTTATGGATTTCTTCTTCAATGATTTATTTTAAAATTATGATTTTCTACATAAGTACAGAATACTCTATATTAATAATACTCTATATTAACTCAGTTTTCTAAAGGAAGTCCTCATTAAAATATTCAGGAAATGGTGTAAGGAGTTTTCAAAGCAGTTGCTTTTATGTTTATCAAATAAACTAGCATTCTTAAAATCAATAAATAATTTCATTTACAATCAAACACTGCTATCACAAAAGATCATTTTAAAGTTCAACCTCAATTTTTATAGGCACTAGTATAGGGAAACATTAAAATAAAGTACCAGGAGAAAACAAATATTAATTACCATATTTATTAAAATGAATACCCTGCATTGCAAAGATTGCCTAGGAAAGAGATGAACTGTGAACACATATTAGAGGAACAAAACCAAAACTTCATGCTCACAAGGACATATCTTTCTTTCAATTTCTACATTTTTTAATTAATTAATATGAGCTATTGTTATAAGTTTTAGAAATTTAGGAGGGTTTCAACAATCAATAATTATATAAGTAAATAAATTAGCATACTGACACTAAAAAGTACTGGTAAGCAAAAAGTTATAGGTGGTTAAGTGTTCGGGCTATAATTTACATGAGAACATAGCTATGACAAATAATTAGTGATCTTTCTGAATATGGTGATGTTCTCAAACACTATTTTCAGGTCCCTAACTCCAGAATATTATTGAAATTATAAGCAGATTAACATTAACTTGACCACACACAAATATCACAAATGAAAAACAAAAAATGTACTGATTTAGACATGATTGTAATAATACAAAGTAAAAAGAAAAGCAGGATCTATACTATATAAACACCACTAAAAAGAAAATGTATTTGAAATATGTTTCTTACCTCAATTTGTTCTAAAGTATCTTGCAGCTTTGAATTCAGTTCACTATTAAAGAGATGTGTTTATTATTAAAAGAGAAAAACTAAGTGCTAAACAAATGCATAATAATGGCACAAGCAGTAAGTCATGCTACTGATTCTGCAACAAGTACAAGGCAGAAACTAAATAAATAAATGGAAAAGAATTTAAAAAGTCATTACTAGCAGCAAAAGAATTGTATGGGCAAAAGATCCTAAAGAATCTACAAATGAAAGTAAGAATTTAAGAATTAAAAATTGACAGCAAGTTTTAAAGATAAAAAACATAATTTAGATAAAAAACAAAATTAATAAAATTAATTTCTACATTTAAAGAACAAAGAATGAGATGATCAAAACTTTTAAAATATCATTTCAATAAAATTATATATTATATAAGCATGTTATGAATACATTTATGTTTGAATTAAATATGCATAATATGTATATTTAAAATTTACAGAGAAAAATTTGAGTTTGGAGAAAAAAGAGATACATCCAAACTCATTCACAGGTGACAGCAAAGAACTCAGCTTCAGCTTCACTATGAAAAAAAAAAAATGGCCTTTAATCTTTATTTATATTTTCATAAATCTAGATGTTTTTATTGCTGCTATACTTATGGCTAAAATGACTCTATATCTTATATAGTAAGACTAATACAAACAAAGTATTATAAACAGCATGTAGATTTTATATAAGACCTATAAATCAAACTTTGGGTTTAGAATTTAGGCCTAGCTAGTAGGTCTGATGAGCTGGTGTTCAAACATTATCCCAGGCAGGGTCCCTAGGCCCCCCTATCTAGACTAAATCAAGCATAGCAAAATCTAACTTGCTGCAAAGGAATTAAGGGCTGCAAAGGAATTAAGTAGACCCCAGTACTACTATATTTGTAAGTAAAAACTGTGTTCATCCTCTATGATTGAATTTCTGTAAAACACTATTTTTATTTAACTACCGAGCCATCTGTAAAATATCTAAAATAAGGATATTTTAGATTATGAAAAATTAAACACATCTGTGTTTAAATGCACTGCTCAACAAACTAGTCCTGGTAGCATACACACTTTTCAATGTGTAATCCAGAATGCTCTCAAGTTCCCTAAAGTAAAACAAAATACAATCAAGCAATTTTGACTTTAAAAAACTTTTCTATAAACTAAGTTAGATAAATCTGAAGTGGAGAAAGAAGTTAAATCTTTCATATACAAACTTACTTTAATATCAATATACTCTGATTCTTATTCTCAATAAATCTCAACTTTATGACTCTGTCAATCATTCAAGAAATGTCTAATATAAGTGTTCCCTGTCAATTACAAAAAGTGAATAAAACTAGTATTACACAATCTTCTATTAAAGAAACTAAAACAGCACATCTCAATGAAGATCCAAGTACTGAAAAGGTACCAGTTTTCTCATTTTCAAGCACCTTGGTGCACCATATTTCTTGGCACTTCAAGTATTAAATTATATCATGACAGAACCTGAGATTTCTAAGTAGACTGGTAATGTCTCTTTATGAAGAAGCAAACATTTTTCTTACTTTTTGTGTCATAAGAGTCAGCCTTCAGTTGCCCTATGTAATCTACTCCTAAGAACTCTTTAAATGTTAAAGAAAAAGAAAGTGAAAATTCAGTTGGAAGTTAATTACTATTCCTGTGATTACCAGAATGTCAAATGATTTTTCACTCTGATTCATTCAGATCCAAACGAAGGTTTTTTTCTTTTTTTTTTTTTTTACTAAATTCTACAACTCCAAATAAGCTAAATGAATTTTTTAAAATTTTTAGTATAATAATTTATTTTTACATCATTTTGTGCTTTTTTTCCATCTCAGTTGTAACTTTTTACCCGTGTGCCATCACCATAGTCCAGTGCATTTCTTCACCCACCCCCTCCATTTTTGATCCCATTCCCCATTTCACCCCCATAAAATGTCTCTGGTATATAGTTGTTCATTATTATCATTATTATTATTATTATTATTATTATTTACCCCCCTAGTCATTTATGCTCCTGCTATGAGTGAAACCATCCGGCATTTTTCTTTTTCTTTCTGGCTTATTTCACTAAGCATGATCCCTGCCAGCTCCATCTATGTGTCTTCAAAAGGCATGAGTTCAGATAAACTAGATGAATTTTTAAGGTGTAGATGAATCATATCTGCGCACATTCCCCTGTATGCAGGGGAGAAATGCTGTATTTAGAATCCAAGAAAAGAAAAATAAGTGCACACAATAAAGAAGGTTCATCTAATTAATAAAAACAATAATTAAAGATAATAACAATAAAATTCCTTTCATTTTTGTGGACTCTGTCCATCACAGAGATCAACTAACTTACTGCTATATCCTACTATCTACAAGTGAACAAATTTGTTACCTCTCACAACTAGGAGCAAAGGGTAAGATAAACAGAAGTGAAAAGGGGATGTGTTAGGTAGGATAAATAGCTAGCAGAGTTCTGCTACAGTTCTGTAATGCAGGGGAGAAATGCTGTTGGAAGAATCGTTATCACACCAAGCAATTTCAACCAATAGCTCTACTCTTTGGGTCACCCTAATGTCACTAAATGAAAAACAGTTTTCCTGGGAAATGTAAGGTAAAATTTCACTATAATGTATGCAGGGGAGAAATGCTGTTGGAAGGATCGGTATCACCCCAAGCAATTTCAACCAATATCTCTACTCTTTGGGTCACCCTAACGTTGTCACTAAATGAAAAACAGTTTTCCTGGGAAATGTAAGGTAAAACTTCACTATAATGTATTTTTTGTGTTACATACATGTATTTTTCCCTATTTTCAGTGAACCAGACAAACATTTTACTATTCCATGCATGAATTATATAGGCAAATATAATATCCCTCATACATACTATACTACCTAACAAAACATTACTTTAAATCATCATTATAGATCTTCTCAATTTCAAAATTTTTAACAAGGTCAGATGACTGCACTCATGCCTCTTCCATGTATCTCTACTTGTATTAATGAAAAGGTGAAATAAGCCAGAAAGAAAAAGAAAAATACTAGATGGTTTCACTCATAGCAGGAGTGTAAGGGATCTGGAAAGAAAAAAAAAGCAGTTGTAATAAAGTAAAAATGAAAATCAACAAACAACTATAAACCAGAGACATCAGAGACATTCTACAAGGGTACAGAGGGGAATAGGATGAAAACTGAGATGGGAAGAGCACACAGTGTGGTGATGGCACATGGGTGAATTGGTGGTGGGAAGTCCAGGGGATTACAAACAAGATGAAAAAGTGTACAAAATGAAGAATGAAGTAAAATAGGTATATACATATAAAATTTTTTTTAGAAGTAATCAGATGCTACTTCATGCTAACTTTAAAAAGTTCAAGAATTTCTTTCAAAAATATTGTTACAGTTAATGCCCTTCATGTAAGATATTTACTTTAGCATAACAGATAAAAAAAAATGTAATCAGTGGAAAAAATAAAGTTTCAAACTATATCACCTACTCCTCAAGCTCCTACCAGCAATGTCTACACACCCATTCTTTTCTATTGATTGTGACCATTTCAAAATCAGTATCTGCTAAAATCCCTGCAAAGCCTTTATATAGTATATGTCCTTCACTTTGCTTTCAACTTTACATTTTCCCATTAATTTTCAAGTATTTGGTTTCTTCCACTCAATTTCACATCTTCCCTCTTTATAAAATTTCCCTATCTAATCCTAATACTTAACCAAATCTGTCCCCAACAAGAACGATTCCAACTTTTTTTGTTACTATATCCAGTAGGCATTTTCAGTTTTCGTATTGTTCGGCATTTCTGCAACAAGACTTCATGACACCCACAATCTCTTACACCTACCTACCCCTTCATATCTTTACTTAGTTAACCCTTCCTGCCCCTCCTTCAGGGATCCCTTAAGGAAATTTAGACCACAATGTTTCCACTTATGCTCAGCTTCCTTCTCTCTGAAGTCCCATCCCATTTGACCCTACTTTAATCCAAGTCTTCCTTTGAGGTTGATTATGCTTGGTTTGTAACCACAAAGCAAACACTGGGCTTATAATACTCAGTAAATAAGTAACTCCATGAATTATGTTCACCCAATCATAAACTGTGCTAACTCTAGCAGAATTATCACCACAAAATGACATAAACAAGTAGTACCATGTTTTCTCAGGATTCAGAAGACCTATTTAAAACTTTCAAATGCATTCAACATACTAAAGCTAATTTTCTACTCAATCTAAAATGTGTCAATAACATAATCAAGTTTTTAATAGTGACTATCCCCGTCAAATGGATAAAACAAAGATATCACTGATACTGACAATTAAGTTCTTTCCTAATCAGATAAACAATGTACACTTCAATGTTCATGATCCTAAAGAAAAAGATTCCATAGATAATTAAATTGCATTTCTAGGAGGAAAAATATGTAGTCCTAATTCTAAACTCAGGAAAGATGTCACTGCATATTTAAAACAAATCTGTATTAGCATTTTACTCCACTATAATTTGTTTCTCATATACTAGACATCAACATCTGCCACACCAGTAGTAAGCTCCCTGACTGCCAGAATTTCCATATAGGAGAGACTAAAAGATTACGTTCTAGGATGGGTAAGAAATTGAAACTGCAAGCATACTATTTTGCCTAGATTATGCGTTTATTTGTGATGGTTTTAGAGAAACAAAGGAAATTACACTTCAGGATTAGGGTATCCCCAAGGGCTAGACTAGTGAAGCAAAGCCTTCATTATCAGTAGACCAAAAATTCATTAATAAAGTTAGAACTAATAGGAAGAGATAAAGCAGTCACTTCATACTGTATGTTTCCTAAGTGATTAAACAAAAGATGTAATATGTCAAGTACATAATCACTTAAATATTACAGATGATTAGTATATAAAACAAAAATACACTCAAATTTTCCAAAAGAATTCTTATTGTGATGGCTAAATATTTGAAACATCTAGATGTGAAAAACAAACAGCAATAATACTCTCAATATTTTTAAGCCAGGCAAAGCTAACGAGGAAGAATGCCCAAAAGATATGAATGAATAGATCAATTTATTCTTTTTTACTATGTTACAAAAATGAACTCAATCAGATTGGAAAGACTATGGGAAAGAAAGCATTTCAATGAGGTTACAAAAAGGGGAAGGGCTAAAAAGTATCTAACAATTCATATCTTAAGAAATATTATTTATAATTGTTCTGCCCATTTATCAACAAGAACAATAAACTAAAATACAGCATTTAATATTAATTTTTAATGTCTACTAACTTGGAAGTTTCACAGCTCGTATACAAAAATTTGACAACATGTTAGCTTTAAAAAGTCTACCTTACCTTATACAACTGTAATGTTTAAAAGTGCTGGCAGCTTTCTGACATTCCAGGCACAATTGAATAGCTCCTGGATAGTCTTCTTCCTTAAGACAACAACAACAAAAGTCATTAGACTGGAAACAGTTTTCTTAGAGCCCCTGGAATAAACAAATCTCTGTTCATACTCTATCCAAAAGTTACAGAACCAGAAAATTTTAATTCCTCTTTAAAAAAGGATTAGAATACCAATGATAGATAAATAATAAAACATAAATAGGCAACTAGCTCCAGGCATAAAATGTATGCATAGAAAAAAATATTCTTTTCTGTCAAATACACAGTGACAGTCCTCAGAGACCATGATATGTGAATAAAGCCCATACAGAATTATAAGCTGTTTCACAGAGGAGGTGTTCTTTAACTGTATATATATGTGTTCTTTCAGTTATGTTTATGAAATGATCCAAAACATATGCACTCTACTTACAAACAATACTCAACAGTTCTACCATCAAGAAATCGGTAAATATTTTTTAATAAACTTGGGGAAAAAGTAAAATAATTACTAATTTCCTCAGAATATTTTTTCACTTAAATAATCTTTTACTGCCAAATGAATTTTTCATATGGATTTGTGAACCCCTAGTTCATTTAACATAATAGTATAGAAGTAATACCTTGCTTGTGTAATAAGAAATTTTAAATGACATAAAACATGTTCTTTATGTTCACAGCCAAAATAGCAAATATAAGTCAAGCCACTAGTGATGCTGATATGATGACAAAATACCTACCTGAAGGAATTCAAGTTACTACATTAGACTTTGGTGAACCTTACAGAAGCATGAGAATCAAAGTAAAGCATCAGAGTAAAAACAGGATGGCTCACAGAAATTGAACTAATATATGATACCAGTATGATGAACCAATTAATATAAGAGATACCAAAATATGATATAATCTTTAAACGAATACTAGATGTTAGAGGCAAAAGATAATCATATTGTTCTTTGGGTGCAAATAAAATCACAAAATACTAAAGTTAGCATTCTCATATTATGACATTGCTGCAAAATAAATATCCTACCAAATAAATTTTTTCTAAATGAAGTGTGTCAATAGAAATATTTTCAATGCATGTACTATTACATGTGTACAAATGTTCTTTATACGATATACCAATAAAAATCCACATACTATAGGTCCTCCCTGGTGGCGCAGAGGGTTAAAGCACTGCACTAAGAAGCTGAAACCACTTCTGCATGAGTTCGATTCCCGCCTGCCCTGGAGGTGACCACATGGCGTGGCAGACCTCTCCTGACCCGCCCGCTGCTCCCCTCAGCAGTATACTTCGTCGATCTGCCTGTTCTGCTCCCCACTGTCTCTGGTGAAGTCTTTCACCACCCCTGGGTCTCTGGCCTGTACTCCAGTTGTGTATGCACAAATAAATAAATCTTTAAAAAAAAAAATCCACACACTATAATTTTTATTTCAGTATTATTACCTATTTAATAAATGTTTTAATACATAAAATTTATCAGGATTACCAAACCTCCAAGCATGGTTAACTTACCTCTAGCATTTCACTTAAGCGCACATCTGTTCTTTGCTGGGGGGAAAAAAAAAATCAAAGGTAGAATTTGTTTCAACCATAAAATTCATAAAGTTAAGTTTTAATTTTAAAAAATTAACCTGTATATACCAATGTTTTTATAGTTCTCAGAGATTTCAGAAGTCCAATCAGCAACTGACGTTTCCTTTGATTTGCAAGAAGGCCTAAACTAGCTTGAGTGAAACCTTCTTTTGCAATATTTAAGTGTCTGCAAAAGTGAACAACAAATAGTTAAAATTTTCAAATATGAGACTACTATACACACAGAACAATTAAAAAGCTAATGAGACAGCATCCTGGATTACTCTTACAACTAGGGATTATGACCAAGACTTGACAAATTTAGTCAACAGTTTAACCTAAACCAGGAATTACTCAAAGTATTAGGATTAGACTGCTGCCAATCCTCAAACTATTACTGGCCTACCACATGAAAAGTACAGAAATTGATAATTAGCATTTACAAAACACTTAAAGCAAAAGTTGACAGAATAATTTTATGCTTGACTAATCAAATGATTTTAAAAAGAACTGCATTTTTGTATGTCTGGTTTTATTCCATTTTCATGGCATTTTACAAAATAATTTACAAAAAAATAAAAATAGAAATTTAAAAATGGTCCTTCACCAGTTTCTGAAGTACTGATCTGCCCCACACAAAAATAGCAATATTTAAAAACCATAGCTAGATTTAAAGGCATTTCCCACCTATCTTCTTAATGTAGTTTTAAAATTGTTTAAGTTATTAATGAATGGTACTTCAGATATCATATTTAAAATTATCAATGATCATTTCATTCAAACATTTCAAGAAAAATATTATTTATCAGCTTAAAGAACAAAATATCATCAAATGCCAATACCTCCTTCCATTTGTGCAGATAACAGCAGCTAACTGGAGACCTGTCTGTAATGAGGTAACTCTCTCAAGTTCCTATGAAAGATAAGTGTAAGTCATTACTTAGGCCCTTCATTTCTTTTTTTATTCATGTTACTTTAACAGAACTTTAATGTGTTTTAAATAAACTGCTTGAAAAACCAAGTAATAACAAAAATACTTACATTTGGAAAATATTTGTATATTTTCCCCAATATTATTTCCAATAACTACTTTCAATTAATGTTTAACAACAATATATGGCAAAAGAGTTAGTCACTATTGCTTATAAGGAAATCTAGACTCAACCTGTTTTAGATAGGCATAAAATATTAATCATATAGCCACTGAATTGTTCCTCCCCAACAGAAATTCACAAAGTAATCTATGACAAATAAAGCTTTGCAAAAAAGATTTGACAACGAATGCCTTCATTTGAACATTGCTAAATACTTAAATGGATGCTAGTCTGATGAAAGGTAGATTGAGTTAGACAATGCCAACTTTATATTTCAAAGGCAGCTTGTACATCACCATTGAGCAGCCACAGTCAACAATTTGCATGTTACAGAGTATATATATGAAGCAATTTTCACTGGCTTTGAGAATTTGGAGAAACTACTTTAAAATCAGAAAAAAAAACAGCTCTATTTCTTCAGTTTGGTAAATGCCCCCAAATAAGAGGGAAAACACACACAGAGACCCCAAATAAAGTCAGTACGTTGAGCTATATGACAAGAGAACAAATTGAACTATTTCAGTCATTCAAACATTTTAAAAATTCTACTACTAAAAATAACAAAGAGGGCCCTCCCTAGTGGCACAACAGGTAAGGATGCAACACTGCAAGCTGGCCACAGCCGCCTCAGTGCAAGTTTGATCCCCAGCCAGGGAGGTGACCCACATGTCACAGCAGACCTCTCCTGTCTTGCCCACTGCTCCCCTCAGCAGTGTACTTTCGATCTGCCTGTTCTGCTCCCCACTGTCTCTGGTGAATCCTCTCACCATCCCTGTACCTGTACCCCAGTTCTGTATGCATAAATAAATAAATCTTTAAAAAAAAAAAAAAAGCAGAGTAGCCTACCTTTACATAAGCAGGCTGTTTTTCAAGGATTAAATCTGCTACTTTTTTAGACACCTATAAGAACATACAATCAAACAAAGGAAATAAAAGAAAATGTCTCATCCTTCCTTAATTTACTTTAAATTAATTTCCCATAGGTTTTTCCAACAACTTCTATCGCAGATATTGGCATGCCATGGTCACACGCTTCAGGGCACTATATTAGTAAAATTGGTATAGCACATAGCACAGTACCTGGTCCTTAACACAAATTCAAGAAATGATCATTATTACTATTATTGAGTATCATGATTTGATTTAACTAAATGGGAAAAGTATAAGCATTATTAAGGGTACAAGCTTTGCTTTACATCTGTTAATATAAACAATTATTTAATGAATCCATAAAGGCAATATTTGGGAAACAAAGAACATCCTTGAGCCATTTAGATTCTTTGTACCACATGAGAAAAATCAAACAATAACGTGGTCTTTTTCTTCTGAAAAGTTGAAAAAGTGAAGACAGGCAACGTTTTTTCAGTCCATGGATAATGTTAATACATTTGTGAGAATTAGAAAGATTTTGAAAATAAGTCTCTTATTTCAGGGCTCCCTAAACAAGCTTCCATACAGAAATGCTCCAGCAAGCATGTCACAGTTTAGTAAATGCTTGCTCAACAACCATAATTAGCAATCCTCTCCCAGATCAACTGAGAATAAAACATTACACAGACGATTAATCCTTTCACATTTTCTTAATCGTTTTTGAATTTGTAAAGATATTTATAGATTTATATAGATAAAAATTGTCACAGGTAGAAATAGACAGCCCAGCTAATTTTACTAACTTGGCTTTTTTAACATTGTAGATGACATAGCATTGTTAGTCTGCACAGTACCAAGCAATGTACTAAGTGCTTTTCCTACATTACCTCTATTAGTACTTGTGACAATCTATTGAGATAAATTACATGCTTTCTCCTTTTCCAGATAAGCAATATTAAATGAAGTATCTTAACTCGTCCATGATCCGACAGTTAGTAGTTGCAAGGTCACTTTTTCAAATTCCAAAGGTCACTACACTATATAGCCTTATGCTGTGGCTGATTCCCAAGAAAACATCAAGCACACAAAATACATGGGTGGAGGAGCACACAGTACATGCTGAAACTAAGAGGAGGAAAAAGATGACGCTCCACTGAAATCAAATCCTCTAAAAGTACAACACATTCTTACTACACAGCCCCCTAATGCTCAAGCCTGTCCTCCGTGCCACCACTGCTGCCCATAGGGAGATCTCAGAGCTACTGAGATTTCTGGGCATAATACAAGAGAACAGAAACTTTATCTTCCTTTACTTATCAGATGTATTATGAAAAATTCCTTCTTAAATTTAAATAAATGTACTACTATTGTTACTTTAGTATAAAAAACTTGAGACTACATACTATCATTAATTAGTAATCTTCTTATAGTAGAGTCAGAGATTTATATACGAATTCAGCCTAATATGAGAAAATATGGAATCATAAAATTGTACATCATTAGAAAAAATGCAGACCTAGCCTATCACCTAGCAGATGAAACTAAAGAGATTTACCCAGGTTAATGATTTTGCAACATCACACAATTACATGTGAGTAAGATTCAAATATTCTTTGGGTCTATTTTATCTAAAAGTGAAGAAATTTATCCTCTGATAGGAATATTCAATCACAAAACGATAGGTTGATAGGAATATTCAATCACAAAACTATAGGTAAGGAAGTCATGCATGCATGACAGAGAGCCTAAAGATACTTACTAATCTGAAAAAAGTTCAATATTCATTGATCACGTTTAGAATTCCAGAGAAATAACTCCAAGTTCTAGAAGTAAATCTACCAAGGCAATGTGAGGGAAACTGAACAGATATTACATTTTAATATAAATTAATCATTTGAGAGAGTCAAAGTCATGTTAAGTAATAAGACTTGTTTAACATATTAAAATATTAGAAAAGCCATAAAATCTCAGTTATTACACCTCTGCTGAACGTCATTTACCATTTTGCCATAAAGAAATGTCTTTTTACTTACTGCAGCTTGCTGTTGTTTCAATTTGTCTCTGTACTCTTCTAATTCTTGCAAATTGAGAACAGGAGGGAGCTTCTATAGAAAAAAATTCATAAAGAGTTTTTTTTTTTTAAAAAAAAGATAACTTAATTTGGTTTAATTTACCTGGATACTTCTAACTAACTACAGTCTGTTCATAGAGAACAGTGCCACATCCCATTCCCATCCATTTCAGGTTCCACTCACAAGAGCCTACATACATCTTTGTTATCCAACTCTCTGCCAACCAACTTCTACCCTTTATCCCATCCTGCTATCTCCATGGCTGCTGTCTCTTGATATCTAGGAAGCCCCGTTACCACTGGGATTCCTGACTCGAGAGCCTAGATCAATTCTTCAAGGACCTATGGCATGAAGAATATGTCCCTAACCCAAATCCCCTACCCTCCAAACCACAAGTACAACCCTATTTGTCTATATAGAACTTAAAACATATTTATCCTCTGAAATAATGAACAGTAACTAAACACTGCAGTGTAACAGTGACAGCTGCTGAAGTTCCAGATTATATTGACTTTTGAAGTTCCAGATTATATTGACTTATGCAGAAACTAAAAAAAAAAAAAAACTGCATACTATTATGTAAATATGAAACTGGACTCCAAATCTCACTGATGGGTGAAACTTAAAAATAAGATGGGAACGAACTGATTTTATATGTAATAAAATATGTAGTCATATTGCATTTGGTTTCATATAAAACCAAATTTTACTATTCTGACTTTTCTTGAAGTTATATAATTTAAAGCCAGTGTTGTAAACATTATGGCACAGGGATAGTAATATGAATAACACTGTATAAATATGCACTTATGACTAAAAATCTCAAAACTTTTGTTAACATATTTAGCCAATGTAAAATAAGATAGAGGCAGCTTACTTAGCATATTTAGCTATTTTCCTTATTAACTTATGCTAATAAGTAAAAACAAAAAATACAACATTTCCTGAATGGTATCCAATAGTTGCACAGTTCATTTTATCAAAATACGGTTAATAAATACTAGTTCTGGCATCAAAAAATATAAAACCCTTAACAAGCACTCAAATCTCATGAATTCAATCACTGAACAAAATGGATTTTAAGTATATTTTGATCAATTTTTTTTTACCTCCAGCTCATATTTAACAATATCAAATGAATCTGTAGAGAAATATACTTGTTCAATGCTATTAATTAGTTCTTGTTCAGCTTGAGGGTCACTAGGCTGTTCTCGAAGCTCTCGAAATTCCTCCTTTAAGGGAAAAAAATCAAAATTAAATTAAATTTAAAAAGAAGAAAATCACAATTATAGAACTTGCTACGTAAAAATTCTATCTGCATCAAAGTAAATAGTCATCTGTCTTTACACTCAAAAAGCTACCTGAAAGCATTTGGATCAAGGAAAAAAAATGATTAAAAAAACTTTGGAAAGCTCATGGGAAAAAAGGTTACAGTTCTACACTGAAAATTACTCATTTATTGAAAGAAAAACAGGCCAGTTTATTTTCAATTACTTTGTGTCAAACCAGCAGTTGAGCAAACTCAGGTATTTAACAAGAGGAAAAAACAAATACATTTATTCCTAATATCTACCAAATATAGTTATCACGTATTTGTTTTCTCCATTTAATACATCCTAAAATCTGTCTCACCACAGGTAACAAGGAAACAACTCAATGACTTGTGTCACCATTACGACTGAACCCTAAGTAATATTTTAAGCCAGACTTTATATCTTCTTCTGCTGAAAATCTTACTGCTCGACTAAGAAACAATGGCTATAGAAAAGGTTCTGTAATTCTTTGAGGTTTCCTTCTATATACTCATAGTGTAATAAATTATCTGATTATTAGCCTACATTTCTGTATTTGATAAAATGCATTCTTTCAAATTATAGAGAATACTACAAAGTGACTGACATACAAATCTCTACCCCTAGCAATTTCACTGCGAATTGAATAAGTCTCCAATTAACTGGGAAATTTCAGTAACTCAGAGACCCACTCTCTCTCACACTAATTATTACAGGCATTATTATGACATAACAATTCAATTATTCAATCTTTTTATTCGAATTAATCTCAGATATATTTAAGTACACAAAAGGAAACAAGTATTAAAATCATTTTACCATCATTAAAATATTTCTTAATGGGTCATCACTAATACACAAAAATTACATGGTCCATGGACATTTTTCCCAAACAATACTGTATATATATATATATATTTTTTTTTTTTGTAAGGCATAGTTTTTCATTTACAAACAGCACCTAGCATATGTATCTTTTAGACTTTAATTTGTATTTTAAATCTGTAAAAATTATTAACTATAAAATTACCTCCTCTTAATAAATTCAAGCTAAAAGAAAATATTAGAGCAATAAATCTGAAACTCAAGAGAATAGTTAACTGCTGAAATTTAAAAAAACAGCAAGTTAAAGAGAGAAGGCATAAGAGTCAAACCTGCATTATTAAAAGTGCATGGAAAAGAAAACCCCTCACTTATACCAAAACTCAACTTATAAAATATACTAACAAAACGGTCAGCAATGCAGTCTCCATGTATCAGCAAGCAAGCACACACTATGAGGACAGTGAGGAATTCAGCACCCTAATAGTGGAGGTTGAGTTCCCTCCAGGGTTTATCACTAATCTATACAACATCCTGGAATAGATTGGAGTTAAATCCTTACCACCTGCGGAATGTTTCCCAACAAGTCTATCCACAGGCAACCTCCCTATACCTAGTAGAAATGTGAAATGAGAAAGAAACACGAAATGAAAAAAATGAGATATGAGATCAGAAATCCTTCACAATCTTCTTAAAAATCCACAGGCATTTGAAACACCAGCTTCAAATACTATACACTGAGGAAGGCATGTAGATACAAATGAGGATACAGCGATTCTCCCAAACAATTCCACAGCACCACTAGCAAATGAATATAGTTGATACCATTGAAAAAAAAAAGTCTTGTGAAGATTATAAAAAGTTATGGAGCCAAACCAAAAAATGATATATATTGCAATGAGTAAGCACTTTTTATCTTAAATATATAAATACCAATGGCATATATGACCATGCTTAAACTCACCACAGACTACCTACTTGATTGACCTGAAGATAAAGACACTTAGGTTTTAACTACAACTCTGCTATTAACCTTGGGCAACTTACTTAGTCTCTTAAGCCTCCTCTTTTTCACTTTAAATGACACACATACAACCAAATTCCAAAGTTATGCCAAAGGGAAAACATGATTCACTTATAAATAACTCACAAGTGTACATTTCACAAATGTGATGAACCTGTAAAAACAATACAGTCCGTATGCGTATATAAAAGGTCAAATGCCATTTCTTCCTTAGGAATTAAGCAATTATATCACAGAATGCAGACATACTCATAAAATTTCAAAGAACTGACATGTAATACTTGACACTGTAAATGTAAGTGACCTGGACTAACGGCAGAAAAAGAAATGCAGCACACAAAGAATCCAATCAAAAACAAATGTCCAACACAACATTCCCATAAAATACCCTTTCATTTCAAACAACTCAGTGGCTCCTGTGTGAAAACATGCAGCTGAACTCATTCAAATTCCATTCTGACTAGAATCCCCAGCATTGAGCTCCTTTTAATCCACTGCACTTGTAGGTTGTAAGATTCTGCTTCTACCTAATCAATCTTTAAATGTTTTACCCGTTAGTGTTGACTGGTCAATCAGATTATATACTTCCTGTGAAATGAGATTTCTCCTTATTCTCCATCATTATGTTCCATTGAGCAAAGGTATACTGTAGATAATAATCATGCTCAAACCAAAATTAATGTGCATAATGAAGTCTATAAAAATGTGTGTGTGTTTGTATACATGTATTTATAAACTAAGGTAAGGAAAAGACAGCAAGTGATTTTGATCATTAAATTTTTCTAGAAACTTAATAAAAGATTTATTTCCTCTAACTAAAAATAACAACGAATGTTAATGATTTTAGCAATATTTTTATCAATGTAAGATAGGAAAATAGAAACAATGCATATTCTTAGTACAATTACTCCATAATTTTGTCACTATATTAACACTGGCTTCCTAGGATCAGCGATGTATAAAATAAATAATTCTTCATTTACAACAGATCAGTTTTACAGGCCAATATACTTGTATTAGAACAAATTTTAAAAAACAAAATGAACAAAAGATTTCCTACAAAAAAATGTAAAAGCAAAAAAGGGAAAGAATAAAAAATGAAACTTTATAGCATATTAAAATACATGAGGCTAAGCTTGGAATGAAATATTTCAGCTTACAAACTAGTGCTAATTATTAGCAAAACTTTTTTTAATTTGACTTTTACATAAACTTAACATTACAAAGTAACTTACACAAATTATCATCATCAAAGACTGTTTAAAACTTTAAAATTCAAAAACAATATGCCAAAACTACTAACCATCAAATGTGCTACACTTGCCCACCCTTGGTAATTAACTAGGTCAAAAATAAGGAAAATGTGCATTAATGTCAATTAACTAGGTCAAAAATAAGGAAAATGTGCATTAATGTCAACCCAAGAGGGGGAAAAAATGGAGAAAAATTACAGTTAAGATGATAACTTTCACTGTAAAGGAGTAAAAAACAAAAGTACTGTGGCAAAATGAACAGAAAAAAAAAAAATTCGACCCCCCCCATCATCATTTGGAAAATGCTTTGCTCATTTTTAAAGCTCTATAATTGATCATTCCCAGTAAAGTTATAGATTTTAAAATAGCAATCAAATTTTTTCATTTCCCACTATGTAAAAATTTCTCATACTAGGTCAATATAGAAACAAAGATGAGTAGAATACAGCTCTTTCCTCAAATAGTAGCTAAAACAATCGCCAGGGTCAAATGAATAAACAATGACTCTGCAAGAACATGAGATTCAAAAACATGTAACCCGCAGTATTTAACAAGCATCTCACATATGGAGATACTAGACTAGGTTAAGTTTCAAATTTGAGCAATGTGGGGAAATATACTTACAAACACAAAGCAAAGTATCAGCAAAAACAGTGATAAAGTATACAACAGGGTAAACAATGGATGTGGAAGGGAACGGTCCTTGGAGGATAAAAAAATATCATAGGGGAAGGTCTGCATGTATACAGGAGGCACAGAAATGCAACAATTGAGATCTCTGGAATTTCAGTATTTTTTATACATATTATAACTGTATTCTCCCTTTACAGTATCACTTTGTCATCTGCTATATCAAAAAAATAACATAAAAATTCATTATTAACAATCAATCAGGCAGGATTATGTTTATAAAGTAGTACATAACAAAGTCATCAATATTTTAGAGGTAGTCTTTTCCAGTGGTCCCAGCACCTTGTAAATCTGCAAATAAGACTATCACACCTATTTTTCTGTTTTGATCAATACTGAGGTAAAGCCACATGACTATACTTATAAAAATATACCTCAAAAATGGAACTTTCTGAAAAGTGAAGAAAACCAACAATAGAAATCTCAGTCAACACTTTTCCAGCCAAGTCACTTTTCCTCCAAATATAACGAAAGATTTTATGAAACCTGTAAGTTCAAGTCTATAAAACAATTGGAGTTCTCAGTGTGAGCTGTTATTCCAGTATATGTATGGTTTCTAAAGAACTAGGTAAGCAATTTACCACCTAAAAATTCATCTCTTAAGGGAATATAATTCAAGATTAAGAGGGGGTAAAAAAAAAAGTATCAATTTTGCATTAAACCACTGCTTTCAAATTATATAAAATGGGGACCTCCCTGGTAGCACAAGGGCAAACGTCTCAGCTCTATCAAGCTATCACCACCCACTGTGGAAAGATTTCAATCTTTGGCAAGGGAGCTAACCCACATGGGGCAGTAGACCTCTCCTGTCTTGCCCGCTGCTCCCCTCAGCAGTGTATTTTAGATTTGCCTGTTCTGCTCTTTACCCTTTCTCTGGTAAATCCTCTCAACCCCCCTATACTTCAGGCCTACACTCCCATTCTTGTATGCATCAATAAATAAAAATTAAGACTTTTTAAATTATATAAAATAGATACTACTAAAAATTCCAACCTGGGCCCTCCCTGGTGGCTCAGCGGGTTAAAGCACAGCACTAAGAAGCTAAAGCCACTTAGCATGAGTTCATCCCTGCCTGCCCTGGAGATGATCCACATGGTGCAGCAGACCTCTCCTGACCCACTCACTGCTCCCCTCAGCAGTGTACTTCGCTGATCTGCCTGTTGTGCTCCCCACTCAGTTTCGGGTGTAGCCTCTCATCTCCCCTGCACCTCTGGCCTGTATCCCAGTTCTGTATGAATAAATAAATCTCTAAAAAAAAAATTCCAACCCAAGTTCAGGGACTTTCAATGCTATTTACTTTTATGAGTGTACAGAATTAGTGAAGACAGATTATCAGTTCTTGCCATTACTACATTCAATATTCTTTTTAATTTTGAACATACATTCAATATTCTTTTTAATTTTGAACATAATTTAACTGAATGTTTAAACCCACAGTATAGCTTGAAAACTCATAATCGTCAGCAGAGTTTTATTCACATAAAAAGATAAATGTAAAATTTTCCACTCACAGGTCAGTTTTCAAAACCTATAGAAAAAATACAGAATAAAAAAATAAGACCCAAGGGCCCTCCCTGGTGGCACAGTGGGTTAAAGCACAGCATTAAGAAGCTAAAACCACTGCAGCATGAGTTCATCCCTGCCCCGGAGGTGATCCACATGGCGCAGGAGACCTCTCCTGGCCCACCCGCTGCTCCCCTCAGCAGTGTACCTCCATGATCTGCCTGATCTGCTCCCCACTTTTGTCTCAGGTAAAGCCTCTCACCTCCCCCACACTTCTGGCCTGTACCCCAGTTCTGTATGCATAAATAAATAAATCTTAAAAAAAAAAAAAGGGCCCTCCCTGGTGGCGCAGCGGGTTAAAGCACAGCACTGAGAATCTAAAGCCGCTTCCGCACAAGTTCGATCCCCGCCCGCCCCAGAGGTGACCACATGGCGTGGCAGACCTCTCCTGACCCGCCCACTGCTCCCCTCAGCAGTGTACTTCGTCGATCTGCCTGTTCTGTTCCCCACTCTGTCTCTGGTGAAGCCTCTCGCTGACCCTAAGCCTCTGGCCTATACCCCAGTTCTGTACACACAAATAAATAAATCTTTAAAAAAAAAAAAAACAAAACCAAAATTCCATTTCCACCATTAGCTTAGTAGACCAGAATTCACATTATATATAGATGAATGGCAGAATGTACTATATTGAGAGGGAGTAGGGGAGAAAAGAAGAAATCTTTGTAGAGTGTGAATTTTTGCTTGCCAATACAAATCTTAAAGGTATTTTTTTCTACTGTTTATGTATCTTCACAAGTCAATAGAAAAAAAAAATTCTGTGATATAAATTATAAAAACAAAAATCAGTCTTAAAGTTAGATCATATCACAACTCCAAAATCTATAGAGATAAAAGGGAACACATAAACATGAAGTTTTCAAAATTCAATTAATAGTATAAAAATCATAAATCACTTAACCAATGCTGATTTTCTATTTCCAAATGAAAAAGGATTCAAGACCACATGTACCCTAAAACCATACATGGAAATTTTTAATGAAGTGCCAGATGTCTGACTATGTGGGGAAGTAGTACATTTTCTTAAAATTCCACTAGAACAACAATAATAATCCATCAAAGCAGCCAGTATATCAGTTTGTGTTTGTGCATTTTAAATAAAAGATAGCTTTTACAGTCTACATGTTTTCTTCAGGCTTTCATTGCCATCTAGTGGAACGCTAGTGAAGTTACAATCTGAAAGATTTAAGCAAAATGATTTAAAGATTTTTATAAAACATGATAAAAATGGCATTATTTTAATCTGGCTTTGTAGGACACTTAAGTGATAATAATATATCTTAGTCACATCCTATATAATAACAGTGTTCCAAATACACACATCTTGATTTTTTAAAAACAGATGAGGAAAATTTTTAATTCCCAGACATTTATTGATTTAACATTTACTAAAGTCACAAAGCTAGAAAGCAAAGAGCTCCTATTTAAATCTGAGTCAAGTATCTTTAGTTACTTCTCTAAAGTTATGCTTTTATTAGCATTTTCCTAAATTTATTTCTACAAAAAGAGAAACAATAAAAAAGAGTAGCTTTGAAGCTTTTTTAAGTTGTCTTTAAAAATATTTTTGACTTCAGTGGACTACATCAAGTCATATATCACATGTCTGTCATTTGGGAATATAATGCTAAAGAAAAGACATGTCACAAATTTAATTACAGAGAGGAAAATCCAGAAGTCTTTTTTTTTTTTTTTTTGTATAGAACTGTGATATAGGTCAGAGGAGCAGGGGAACAAGAGAATTCAGCAGAGATAGAGTGAATAGCAGAACAGGTGGTTTGACTAAAAACATACCAATCACCAACTCTAGAAGACCGTGACTCTAAAACCCTTCTAAGTATTCCTAACCCTTTCCTAGCTGCACTACCACTGTGCATACCTCAGTACAGACCTCTATCGTACAGACTACTTGTACTACTTGGCAATTATTTTTGGTTGTCTCTCCCACTTAGATTGAGGTAGGAGGAGAATCTGTGAAATACTTTTTTATGGTTTGGCATAAGAGAAGGTTAAAAATCTCAAAGGATCTGAAGCCAAGAGAACCATAATTTCAGAGGTGGTTAAAAAGAACACAGCTAAATATTGACAGTTACTAGTGCTGAAGAGAAACCTTAAATGACTTTAGGTCCATGGTTAGAGTCTCTTTTGATTCCACCAAGAGAAAACAATGGTCTTAAACAATATATAATTCTAAATTGAAAATTTTTACCCTAATTACCAAAGCTAAAATGTCTCCTAGTCATAAACTTCACTACTATTATTGTCAAATACAGATACCAATATACCTTCTAAAAAAAAATACGATGTTTAGTATGCATATTTTATATCACTCCTACAAAAACTGTAACATAGAAAATATAAAGTATTAGAGGACTCTTCTTTTTAAAAAAGATTTTATTTATTTTATTTCTGCATAGAAGAACTGGAGAGTAGGCCAGAGGTGCAGGGAGTAAGAGAAATACACCTGAGCCAGAGTGGTGAGCAGAGCTGCTAGAGTACCCTGCTAAGGGTAACAGCAGGTAAGACAAAAGAGGGCTCCTGCACATATGGTTAGTTCCCTGGTCTGTGACTGAACTCAGGCCTTGGTGCAGGTAACACTGAGACTTAACCCCTAATATCATCTAATGCAAATACATCTTTTCAAACATGAAAAATTTTAGTCACAAAGCAAATGAAACGATTTTCCTTTGATATGCAAAATATTTAAGTTAATCTTTGAGTTAACTTAATCTCTTGATTCTAGTTCTAGCACCCTTTCCAAAGCTCTGCAAATAGAGTTCTATACTTGGTATTTGGTTTTAGTATTCTTTTATTAAGAGATATTAAGACATCAAGTCAAACCCACTTATCTTACTTCACAGAAGTGTCGTAAAAATTAGAAAACATTCTGCCCAAACTTCCTATGCTCAAAGAGAAAAAAGCCAAAGAGAAATTTAACAGTAACATGTGTACCTCCTATGCAGAGAGACCCAGAAAGTTCTCATGCATTTATTTTTTAAAGAGGCTCACTCTTCAGCTTACACTGATTCTGAACATCTAATGCATGCTCATAACACATGGTAATTTTTTCCTTAAGTCAAAGAAAAATAAAATAACTAAAATAAAATCTGGATTTAAATTTTTTCTTCATTCCCAATTTGATTACATTCAATAATGTTTTATAACACACAAAATTATTTACATATTTCCTTAAGGTTTTTGTTGGAAACACTCATACAAAAGGGTTGATTGAACTGTATCATGTTAAAGAATATGTTTGGATTTGACCTAAAATTTATGGTAAGCAGTACAAACAAAATTTACTTTAAGGGGTAAGGCTACTACTAAGATGAGGTGAGACAAGAGGATTTATGATCACTGATAAAGAGAAACAAGTCTTAAGTATTAAGAAGTCTGACACAGAAGACAAACAGTAGTTCCAAAAGTGATCCTTAAACAACAACAAAAAAAATCACAAGAGCAGACGAGCAGACATTCGGAAGTACAAGCTTTGATCTGTGATGGCACTGTTATTCACAGAGACAGTTCCAAGTGACAACACACCAGAGAGAGAAGCAGCAGGGATTTATTTATTTAAGGATGGTTAATAATTCTCCTGACGGGAAGCCAGCTAGTTTCGAATAACATCTATTAAACTGGTAAACTGAGAAATTCACATGACTATCAGGGAATTTAAATCTAGGCTATCTCCAATTTTGAGTAAGTTTTGCTTTAGCTACTTATTCAAAAATCTCTGCTCCATAACAAAAACATAATTAACCATGATTTTTAGCTCAGGCTGTTCCAGCACAGAAAGCAAATTATTTCATTTTATTTCTCCAAATTACAGTGGATAAATCAATATGTTTCATATGGACATATAACTGCTTTCAGGCTAAGAATCTGATACAATAATAATCTCTAAATTTATCAATTTCATGTTTTCTGCTTTAGTATAACAAACCAGACTGCATCCCAATGAGCAATGAAAGTAAAAACAAGCCCCAAGCCTACCACATTATAAAAATTTACCTAGCTTATCATAACAAACATCTGCCTGCAGGAAGGAAAAACTTCTGTGAATCAATTATCTAAAAGCAGTAACATTTTCTTAAGGAAGAGAAAAGTCATGCTCACACAAGCAGATCAGTACCTTTCCAGGGACTCGGAGATTCTCAATGACACCCAGATCACTGAGGCTCTCTGGAGGGCTTTTCAGACCCTTAAAAAAACAGATTAAAAAAAATTTTAATTGTGCTGCAGAACAATTACAGATAGAACATATTCAATAAAACAGAAGTCAACATTTTAGAAAAATATTTTCTTGCTTTAAAGTTTTTAGAAATATGTTCTAAAAACAACCATCACTTTACACATTCAGTACTATTAATGAATCAAGTTGAGTTTCACTTTTTGTATTGGAAAATAATGTTACATAACACCTTCCTGATTAATAGTTAGTCTAATTTAACCATGATTTAAAAGCAAGCAAAAGAAAAGAAACTTGGATGACAAAAAACATTGATTAAAAGGACTTATCTATGACTAATCATTACCAAGTTCACCCCATAAATACTAACGTTGCTCTCAATGATACACACCTGAAACTGAGAATATTGTAATGTTTCCATAAAGAAGTTAACATTATAATGAGTCACAAATATAATATGCTAATCAACTGAATTAACTACAGATTTTTAAATACTGCTAACTACTTAATTAACACATAAGTAATCCCTTGATTCCACCTGGTATTTCTCATCAATACTCAATTTCCACTCCACAATTGAAACTGCTTTCTACTTGCTCTTTAGCTCATTGTTACCTGGGACTTTCTATCTTCATACCAATGCAGAGATTTTCAAGCCTCATTTGTACCAGGGAAAATGATGAAAACAGAAAGAACTGACCAATTTAAATTTCTTTTGAAAGTCTACTCTTAAAAATACAGGCTTTTCAAAGCAGACACATAAAATCCTTGTAATATTAGGTAAGCAAAAGTGGTAGAGAAGAGATTTAGCTATAGTTAAAATTTCATCCTTTAGTGCCTGCCCTATACTGGCTCTTTGGCATCCTCAGTAATCAAAATACATGTTACATTTAGGTTGGTCATTGAAGACTTAGAGAATTTGTTTTTTAAATTACAAGAGGTATGTATTTTATCTACTCTATTATAAAATACGTCATATTCCAAAATTTCTTAGGACAGGTGTTCTGCCTCACCCCAAGTCTTCTATTACTCACAGAATACTCCCACCCAGTCTCCCGTATCTTTCTCTTGTGCAAGCACACACACATGTAAGTGCCACCCTCTAAAGAAACCTATACTTTACTGTCAGAGTTAACTTCTGTTTGAAATCTGTCTAAATCCCTGTGCTTCTAAGCACCCACTTTTTCTCAGTATGATCCATGATCATCTCCTTCAATAATACCATGGGGAAATTTTTGGAATGTAAGATTCCCAGGTCCCCCACAGATCTAGTGAGTAGGTGTTTTCACATTATAATCAGGAATTGCATTTTAACAAGCAACACTGGTGATTCATATAATCAACACTGTTTCAGAAACCCACCTAAATATTTTTCTCTGCCAAAGTAGAGTTATAACTATTAAATATATTTCTCTTTCTCCCCCAGACTAAGTACTAAGAGAAAAGAGAGGCCATGTGTGTTCTGCCTCTGTAGCCCAGTGGCTAGCAAATTTCCAGGAATAACATAGTAATCGAAATGAGTAAATTACTCAATAGAAGCACTGGTCCATCTCCAATCTCTACCTAATCAGAACACTGTTCCCAAAGAAATATAAAATTGACTTTAAAATGAAGTTTCTGGGGAAGTGTCCTAGAATAAGAACAGCACCAAGGGCTGATGTCTTAAAAAAAAAACGGACAAAATAGCAGTATGTCACTACTATGTCTGTTCTTCCTAGTCTCAATTTGTCAGCAGCAGTCACCATCAATCTATAGCATCAAAAGTATTTGTGAAGAAGACAAAGATGGGTTATAAAACTAACTTTCTAGGGCCCTCCCTGGTGGCGCAGTGGGTTAAAGCACAGCACTGAGAATCTAAAGCCACTTCCGCATGAGTTCGATTCCCGCCTGCCCCGGAGGTGACCACATGGTGCAGCAGACCTCTCCTGACCCACCCACCACTCCTCTCAGCAGTGTACTTCGTCGATCTGCCTGTTTTGTTCCCCACTCTGTCTCTGGTGAAGCCTTTCACCGCCCCTGAGCCTCTGGCCTGTACCCCAGTTCTGTATGCACAAATAAATAAATCTTTAAAAAAAAAATTAACTTTCTATACACACTATGTTATGTACACACAGACTGTACATACATACATACACACATTCATATGAAGAAAAATTTCATAATTCAAAATCACAATGACTTCTAAAATATTGTTAACGTAAGGCTCTCCTTGGTGTTGCAAAGGGTTAAGTCGTAGCACTATGAAGTTATCCTCAGCCACTGCAGCATGAATTCAATTCCCCTGCCAAGGAGCAGACCCACATGGTTTCCTGTCTCACCCACTGCTCCCCTCAGCAGTGTACTTCAGTCAATTTGTTTGTTCTGATCCCCACTCTGTCTCTGCTAAATCCTCTCACCCCAACTTCTGGCCTGCACCTCAGCTCTTGTATGCATAAATAAATCTTTAAAAAACAAATGTTTTAAAAAGTGCATGTCTCTTTAAAAAAAATTTAAGTGTAGATTTGTTTAGCTGATCTAACAAATCTTGGAGGAATAGACCATGTGTAATATTCTTAGAGTAAAGAAACCAATGGTTGAAATGTAAACAAATTACTGATATACACCAATACCTATAAAAAAACATTACTTCCAAAAATAGTCATCACATACAATAATAGGCTACTAATGCATGGCATCTTCCCAACAAATGTGCAAAATAAAAGCACTAAACACTGGAAATCCTATCTACATGTTAGGAAGAAGAGAAGTGCTGTAAGTCAAGGAATGGGCTGGGTGGTCTTGGAACAACTGACCTAAGCTACCTATCATTATATTCTAATGATGATGACAGTAACTCAGAGGCTTTAATAAGGAGTAAAGGAGATAATGTATGTGAGAGGCCATAAATAGTGTCTGGTACATGACAACCATTCTTCAATTGTCAGCTATCAATCTGAGTTATTACTGTGAACACAGAGCAATGCTTTTCTATTATCTTATCAAAACAGAAATGAAGAATTACATAAATGTCTCAAAGCAAAACACCCGATACCCACCCAAATTTTAGGATTATAGATTTTAAACCCTTTGGTTAACAATTTTATGAATTTCTAACAAATATTAAGTCATCATTTTTATTTTATCTTTAACTGTCTAATGCAGGAAGTCATGATTATACTATAGTCTGCCTTTATTAAATTGAAACTTTCCCTGAACTCACTAACCATTTGATTTTCTTTTGTTTTTGTCTCCGTAGTTATCTGTTTACATTCATACAATATTTAGCCAGCATAATTAACAACTGCTTCTGCACTTTATTTGCCCAAATCAGACTAACATTTCAGACTATTTCTGTTATATCTACATGAGTCTTTAGTTCCCATTTCTGAGGTTTCACAAAAAGTGTGGTTGTGGGGTCACTGATTACCCAAAACAAAGGCTCATTCTCGCCTTGGTTGACCTATCTGCAGCATTTAACCCACTCTATGCTTCTCTCTTTTAAATTCCTTACTTGACTTCTAAGACTCACTCCCTATCCTCTCTTCCTCCCCATTATATCTGCCTTAGTAATTGTTCTGTTCACTCATGCATTCCCCAGACTTAGAATAGTGCCTGGCACATAGAACTCAACAAATATTTATTAAATGAACTGAAATGAAATGAAAGAACAGACCTCACCTAAGAAAGCTAACAAAGTACACCCTCCCACTCTTTCTCAAAGATACCTGCTTCACAGAACTAAGTTTTGCATCTACATTAACAATATATTATTACCATAATCTGCAAAAAAAAAAAAATTATGTATATGTATTTGTAACAGTACTATATATTCCCATAACAAACAATACTAAAGAAAATCTTGAATTTAATTTTAAGTGAAACCCTAATTTCATACTTCATAGATTCACTGTGTATTAATGGTTACCAAAAATGTGGAAGCAAAGTTGCAAACATACTTAACATTGATAACTCAAAAAAAAAAAATGTGTGAAACTCCCAATTTACCTAGCTTTTTATGTAATATAGCTCATTTTTTACATATTCTTGAAATTGTTTTTTCATCTCATGTAAGCAGATTTGACTGCGCCAGTCCTGGTTGAGGCTGAAGAGTTACCATGTTTAGCATAATTTCATTATATTTAGGAGACATAAACCTGAACCTTTATATTTTCTTCTGTTTAATTATTATAAAATACAGCTAAAAAGCAAATCAAAATTGCTATACAATAATGCTGATGTTTATTAACTATACTGAAATGCACAGTGAACATCCTGTCAGAGCACTAAATTTAGCTGATGAAAACAACTCCAAAAAGACAGTTTAAGAATATTAGTGGTGTAATATAAAAAACTGTATATCATCTTAATAATTAAACAGATACCTGAAATCTTATTGCTTGAAGTACTGCAACAGCCTGCTTCCAGGTTTCCTGCTTTCCCACCCTCAAGGTAGCCTGAGATGTTTATGATCAAGCATTTCCTTGATAAGGCACATAAGCTGTGATAACTGCTTTATGGTCTACATTCACCATACCATATAAATATCACTAGATCAATTCCCTTAAGGTACATGTTATCAAAAAAAAAAATGATTGGAGACTTCCTCCAGGTCACACTGTTACCACAAGAAGGAATGGGACCCATTCATTTTCCAATAACAAGTAGAAACCTCAGTAAGTTGAGTAACTCCAGTACTCAACAAAACTGAGAGATCACTAAGTACTACCTTCTTACCTAAATCTTTTTGTAATTCACAGAAATTTTTATCCTATATCCATGACATTAACAATATGTGACAGGCATATTAATCATAGGGCTTACTTACTGTTACCCAGAATCTAACATTTGTAAACTGTTCAGAAGATACCTTTCAACTTCTGAATTCTAAAAGAAGAATGTGATTTGGAGTATGTATTTTTTTTAATCATCAAAGAAAGTGAACTGTTCATTAAATGACTATCCAATAGCCTCAAAATTATGGTGACCTAAATCTAAATTATCCTTCTCTTATATAATAAAGAATGGGCATTTCTAGTGAAATGCTAGTTGAAGTAAAATCAAATCATAATAAATAATTCCATAATAAATAATTGTAATTATTGGTTTCTCCCACTTCTTGCTTTAAGGAAGCTGAGGCAGTATTAGAAAATCTCTAACATTCATGAAGTAGCATAGAAAATAACCAAAGTATGTATCAACGAATTACCGTGAGGGGTGGTGGGTAAATGATTATTTTTTCACGACGATTTTACAAGTAGCATTTCATACAAAGAATTTTCATACATTAGCTTACTGATGGAACCTCACAACTGTGAGGTGAAATTAACAAAGATACTAAATATTAGCATGTTCACAGCGGAAACTTAATTTACAAGATTTGTTAACTTCTAAAAGGCACACTGTCACCAATTCTGTCACTAAGTTATCCGGGTTTTGTTTTCACTCTTTTCAGGTCACCGCTATTGCACAGAGCTCGCTGCCATCCCCACGCCACCTGGTCAAAGATGACAGACAGCCTGGATGTGGGGATCCCTGCAAGAAACTGGGCCTGTCACTGGAAAGATGGCAATGGGTAAGGAGAAGAGACAATGCTAGCTTTTGACTCACTCACTGTCCTCTTCTAAAGGCATGTTGCTGGAACGCCGCTACCCTCTCCAGCAGAACGCCGATTCCATAGGCTAAGGTGGGTTTTCAAGGCTGTGTCCTCGCTCCCCCAACCCCTAATTCCTGCCACCACCTATAACTTAAAGTCTACCCGCCGCGGCCCAGGGTCAGAACATTTAGACACCTCTCCAGGGGATATGCACAAGGACTTGGCTTCAGTCGCCGCGACTTACCTGTCGGGTCATAAGAGATTTGATTTTTTGCATGTCGAAATCGTGAGGGTATTCCCTGTCACAAAGAACTAACAAATCACACCAGAACACCAGGTAGCTGGACCCAACACAAGGCAGCCATAGTGAGTGGTCACGTGGAGTTATCGACCAGGGTCACCCTTCCCGTCTCTGGGCATGCTGGGAATTGTAGTCTTCTGGTTACGGTCGGTACCCGTAGTGGAGGGGAAAAGGTAGGCCGGGTACTACATTTCCCAGCGAGCAACACAGAGGGCGCTTCAGTTAAGCCGGCAAATCTTGTTCCTCTGAGGTACCGCTGCTATAACCGACCTTTACAGAGCACTTGTTCTTGGTACTTCCACTTTGACAAGGCAAAATGTTACTCAAGAGTAAGCAGCTGTTGAACGGCAGGACTAATACCGAGAAGACAATATATAAACCACACGGGAGTGTATTGGCGGCACCTTCACCTGGTCTAGAGTGGCGGATTAAAAGGCCGCAAGACTGGACCTTAGCGGAACTCAAGAGAGGGCTTCCGAGGGATGTCCTGAGAACCCGGAACACCTGTGGTGGCGCCTGGGCTGGGTCTGAGGAGGCGTGTAATTCAGGTTTTCCAATCAATGGCTAGTCAGGGTTAGAAAGGTTTCTTTTTCCTCGGTCTTGGCATCCTCCTTAAATCCAAAGGAGTTAACCCCCACATTTTACTGTTACTTGACTACCTGCACAATCTAAGACAAGGTGGGAAATCGATCAAGTACACAGGTCACTTTAAAGTCCTCTTTTAAACTTTTTGCAATTTAGCTAAACAGAAGAAAGGTTTAGAGGAGTCATTTGAGATTCAGTTTAAGAACTTAACAGTTCAAAAAGAGGGTTAGAGCTAATAATAATGGCTAGTATTTACTGAATGCTTACTACGTGTGAACTCTGTTAATAGCTTTAAGTTTATTATTTCATTTATCCATACAAGCATCCGAAAGGGTTTATACTGTTATTCTCATTTTAAGGATGAGGAAACTGACTTGTGGAGAAATTAAGTAACTTGTCTAGTAGTACTGCAATGGGTATGCAGAAATTGGAGGACTGATTATCCAGATGTTTTAAGCAAGGGTTTCATGTATGGTGCTGAAGGGTGAGTCCTGAAGCATGGTGTCAGTGACTATTTGAAATATACATTTATTTTAAATTAATGTTTATTAGGAAAAAAAACATGATTTTAAAAATATTTCTTATAAAAACTGAAAAAAATGTTAGTGTGCCACAATAATGAAAAATAATAGGTCAACAGTAGTATCGGTGATACTCAGGTCAAACAAAAATAATAAAAGTGGTTTGCAAGTGATTGAAATTTGGGGGAGACTAATATAGAGGTTATTTCCAATTCTTAAATTCTATTTAACCATATTAATATATAAAATGAAAGCCAATTACTTGATCTTTGAAAGACTTTTACAAATGAGGTTGATATAGACTCTAGGTTGACCTAGAGTTTTCTAATAAATGAGGTGATGAAGATTAATGCAATTTATAAATTAGAAAGTACGTTACAACTTTGACATATTTTAGTCATAATCCTGCTCTATTCTCTGCTTCAACAGAACCTCCCTATTTGTATATCTAACATTTGTATTAATAGTTACTTTTGAAACTTTGTGCTTATGTGCTTTTCTACTCTTATTTTAACCTTATAAGGAAATTCTAGTCACTTTAGGACAATCTTGATTTAACTCATTCCTCATCTTCTATAATCTTAATTCTCAGATGGTTCTCAATGTGTGAGAAATCCTTAAAGTGTCATAAGAAACAGAGACTAACCATATTAGTATATAAAATGAAAGCCAATTCAGTGTGTGTGTGTTGATTGTTGAACACAAGACAACACTGTACTTTAAGCACTTTAGATTAATGAATACTGTTATGGTTGTCAGGGCATATACAGTATAGTTAAAAAACACGTATTAGGGTTGATCCAAACCCAGAAGTTCTGAAACCATACCGTTGAGCTTAACACTGAATGTGCCATTATTATATTTATTGTTTTTTTTCTAGATTGTGTTCCTCTGTATAAGGTTGAAGCATATTCTTTCTCATCTTTCAAAAATACAGATATAAGATTTATTTAGTTCTTTCATGCTTGCATTAGGGTTATTAGTAATAAAGCAAATTAGTGAAAAGTGTGGTTGGCCAACAAATCTTAAGATGATTGTCCCTTAGTAATGTAGTGACAGCCCTGGTGTTTTTGCAGATTGGAATATCAAAGCTGAGAGTTTATACATTGATCAACATCAGAACAGCAGCAACAGCAAAATGGTAGGATAAGTAATATTTCTGATGGTTTAAATGGGAGGAGCCCCTCGACGTTTAAATAAAAGCTGAGATTCAGGTTTCATTAGGAAGATACATTTCTAAGCATCCTATAAATATCAAGAGATGTGCCCCTCAAAATAAAAATAATAAATAAATAAACAATTTTCTGCTACTGAGCACACAGAAGCAGAAAACAGAATTTATGCTGAAGGTAAAGCAAGGACCTGGAGAGAACAATGCAGCATTGTGTTGTCATTTATTTTGAGATTTAGTTATATATGTATACAAGAAATGGAGTACAGGCCAGAGGTGCGGGAGTGAGAAGAATCACCAGAGACAGAGTGCGAGCAGAACAGGCAGATCAACTGAAATACACTGCTGAGGGGAGCAGCAGAGGAGACAGGAGAGGTCTTCTGCACCAGGTGGGTAGCACCCTGGCTGAGGTTGAACGTGTGCTGCAGTAGCTATGGATTGCTTCAAAGTACTATGACTTAACCCTTTGTGCCACAAGAAAGGCCCATTGCACAGTCATTTAACACCTGTATCCTGTAGATCTAGGCTTCCAGGAGGTAGCATTTTAGACTTAACTATGTAATAATCACTATCAGAAGCAATTGTGATGGCCTTCTCTAGAAAACAACTTATCCCTGCAAATATATTCTTTTCTAGAATTTATTTAATGACAGTGCATTCTTTCCCCAGTTCTATTTAGTTCCTTCATTGAATTGGCATTTCACCGCCTCTCCTTCAAATTTCCCTACATTGCAAAACACTCATATGCTCCTAGTAAATAAAGAAAGTGGAGATTTGAAGTAACAGACCACTGGATTGATTTAAAAAGAGAGAGAGTTAACAGTTAAAACAAACTGAACAGTCAACTGTAGTGTGACTTGAGGTCTTATACCATCCTACACCCCTCCCCACACACTACCCCAAGTAATTCCTTACATTGCTTGAATTCTTGAATTTTATCATATTTAGATTATATTTCTTAATCACATTTTTGTTTCAATGTAAATGTAACTATGACCAACAAAAATAAAGCCCTTGAATAGTTTGGTAGCGCAGATTCCCAGTGAGTTACAGGTGAGGTGTGAAATATTGATGGTGGGAAATTTCTTACAATAATAAAATACATTAAATCATTTTAACACTCCTGCAAAAATTTTAAAAAATAACAGTTTAAGTTATTTTTTAATGTCATTTGTAGGACCTGTGTAAACCTTAATCAAGAATAGAGTTTATGCCAACCATCTACCACTAGAGGGCACTTTGTTGTGGTGATGCCAGATCCCAAGTTGAGCTATGCAAGATCTGTTTTTATGTGTCATAACATGAAAAAAACACAACTGTGATTTATTTAGGTATTCAATTTATTTACATAACATGGGTATATTTAAATACAACAAAAAGCCCAATCAGTCCTTGCAATTAAATAAATTTAATACAAAGAAGAATTTTTTTTGTCTTTATCTCTTTTGTTTATGCACCAAAAAACTTTAGAACTGAGTTAGAAAAACATCAGAAGGAGCTTAGTTAGTAAAGTCAATTCAAAATTAATATTAATTTTAAAGATGTTGTATAACTCTATAGTTTTTCAAATTTTATGCTGTGTAATGCATATAAAAATTTATATGCTTTTCTGAATCATCAGCTAAAAATCAGAGTACATGGGTTATGGAAAATTTCGATCTTTTTCTGGGGGAACAGCTTAACAATAATATTAGTTAAGCATGATGCTAAGGCCCATAGATGAATAGGACTGGTCTACTTGATAAATGTAGAAGGAAAATAAAATGTACTAAAATTAATTGAGATTAAGTGATGTAAATGTATGTATAAGAAAAAACAGAAAATTGTGGTATAATAATTATTTGGTAAGGGAGGTGGAGTGCCATTTTTCAGAAGCATGGAGAGCTTCATAAAGTGACCTCTGAACAAGCTTTAGATTTTCCAGCAGTTACTTTGTTTGCCTTAGAAGCAAATTTAGGTGGGTTGGCTGCATTAACACAAAAAGTGTTTACAAACTTGGATTCCAGAATAACTATCATTCCATTTTTTACCTTATTACTCTTAAGGAATAGTCTTCCTTTCCCTCTCATTATAGAACTTATTCAGTGAACCTTAACTGTTCACTATTATTTGTGCAAGGAACTTTGCTTGATTTAATGCAGATTTGGTTGTGTGTTTCTTATTTTATATAGTGGAAAGCTTGGACCAGAGTCTTCCTGTAAATTGAGGTTAACTTACAACTTAGTGATAGTAAATTAAGCAGAAGTGTAGTAGGCCAGGCTGCCTGCTGCCCTGACCGTGATAAAGCTAGGCTGAAAATCTGTAGCCTAGACACTACAGTAGAGGATGGATCTTTGCACCATTTGGTTCATTTCCTCTGTGCTTTCCCAGTGAAATTGTGGCCTCAGATATTATCTGTTGGCATAAGCTTTTCATTATAATTATGCACGGTCCATGATTCAGTCTCACTTGGCAACACACCTGTGGTTTGCTTTTAAAAATAATATGGACCCATAGGTTCAATACCTCCATGGCAAACGTTTGTAATAGGAAAAACTACCTAGAACAATATTTTTAAAGACTATTTTGAATCTTTGGTAAACCTTTACATGTTACTTAGTGACTTCATGATGTCTTATAACCAGTTAGTAGACATATGAAATACATCAATTTTCATATAAAAACTTAACATTTGAAGTAGTGACCTAGTTTTGCATGATAGGAAGTTAGTTTTCATTTTTAAGTAAATTTCACAATATGCTGTCATTATGGAGGAATATGGCTTTTAATTAAGTTACCAAAAGGATGTTGTCCTTCATGTAATTACTAAGTCATAAAATGTAGAGAGAATTACGAGTAATCATTTAGAAGCTTTTCTGAAAGTATTATGCCTGTGTCTTAGAAAGCATGTAACAGGTGTTCCCACTCCCTGTGTCCTTTGTATACACATTCATTCTGTATTCAAATCACAGAAGCAAGAGGCAGGATAGGGTCTGTTACCTCACTGCTAATTTCCCTGGCAAACAAACCAGCAGCTGCTGGTCCATGAACCAAGTTACCACCAGGAAGAGTGCACTGCGTGCATGGGACAGGATGCCTTCATGGAGTCCTTCAGCAACACAGCTGGGGTCTTCCAGTGCAAAATATACCTCCTTCTCCTAGGTAAGTCACTGTATCAATTGTTTTAACTGTTCGATGTTTTTTCTCAAATTGTGGACATAAGATAAATATTAGCTTTAAGCTGCATGTGCATGCAGATAACAATTCAGAACCTTTAAACAATAATACACTTTGTTCCAATAGCAGATACATTTAGGAGAAATGACATTCAATAAGTAGATGGTTATTGTTTCTTAGAGTAACAATTATTATCAATAGCCCTATTATTAAGAAAGTTAAGACATGCTAAAATCCTAGTGATTTCATTTTACAGAGTTTACATATAGGTTCAGTACACCTTAAAACATTGATTTTCACAAATATCCCCATAGAACATGAATTTGTGACTACTTATAGTGGAACTCAAAATAACTTATGAAAATTAATTTCTCATGTTTTAATTAAAAACATTTTCACAAACTACTAGCCTTATTTTAAGTTACCTATCTTATGAAATATGAAAAAAGGTAAGGTTCAAACTGAACAAAAAAAAATATTTTCTACACAGATAAAAAGAAATGTGTCAAAAAGTTTTATTCCTTCAAAATGGCTTTTGTCTTTCTCTTTGTCCAGTGTCTAACCTGTTAAGGCCATGTTTTCTCTTTTAATATTTTTGCCTGGTTCTCCTTTATGCTTAAAGGGTCTTTCTCCAACATTTCCACTGTTTTTAATTTGACTTTTATTTTTTACTAGATGTCCTCTTTTCATTCTTCATGTGTATCAATTTTTTTTTCTGTATGGATGTTTTTTTAAAAGTCAAGTTGCTTTCTTATTTTGTTTATATTCAACACACAGGAATTTTTTTTAAGGCTTTATTCTTTAAATTTTAAGCACAACTTTGCTAAGTAAATTTATGTTTTGGTCTTCAGTGGTTTAGAGCTTTGATTTTATGGTTTGTTTTGGTTTTTTGTGATAGTTTTTATACTGTGTGATTGTACTCAAACATAAGCTTAATCACCACATTCCACGTCTTTGAAATATATAGTTTACAAATTTTTTAAGTGTTTGAGTTTCTATAGTGGTAACTATTCCAGTGTCTACATTGCCAAATTTCAGCCTGTTTATTTTTTATTTTTTTTTGATATTTAGAAAAATTAAGCAATTGCTATATTTGACTTTTATCTCTATGGGTTTTTCTCAGCTTTGAAAGTATCTATGTTAGTGCTCCATTTATTTTTAATTTTATAACAGCAACAGTGCTATCTTCATAACAAATGTTTTTGTAAATGGCTTTAAGAATTTAAACACAATTCATTTGAGGAACTCTTACTAAAATAAAATTGAAATGTACTTTAGAAAAAGAGCATATTCTTATATAATTAAAGCAGTAAGTAAGACTTAGGACTTTCTTATGCAAGCTTACTTTTCTCCATCAGTAATACGTTATAAACATGGGTCGTATGGAAAACTTCTTGGTTTGGGAAGTATTGAATTTGTCTTTCTTTTATAGAGAAATACCAAAAGTTCAAAGTTGAAAATGTAGTTTGTAAGGCATAACTTCATAATTTCTATTTTCTCTAATGATGCAAGAGGTTATTTTTAGTCAACAAGCTGTGTTATGCATGATAATGGGGAAGTAAAGCCAGCTATTTTGAGCTACACCTAGAGGTCACTTTGTGAAGTCTAATGTTTATATTCAATACAATGAAACTGGTTTAGGGAGTCTTTGTTGTTGAAATACAGATAGTTTTTTTATAACAGTTTATTTTTACATCATTTTGTACATTTTTTTTTCCATCTCAATTGTAATCCCTGTGGGTTTCCCATCACCATGTCACCTGTGTGCCATCACCATAATCCTGTGCACTTCCCTCCCCCCCCCCCCCCCCCCCCCCCTTTTTGATCCCATTCCCCACTCCACCCCCGCAAAATGTCTCTGGTATATGGTTGTTCATTATTTTTGTTATTTTCTCGTCTGGTCCATTATACTCCTGCTATGAGTGAAACCATCCGGTATTTTTCTTTCTCTTTCTGGCTTATCTCACTAAGCATGATCTTTTCCAGCTCCATCCAAGTTGCTGCAAAAGACATGTGCTTTTTTTTGGTTGCTGAGTAATATTCCATTGTATATATGTACCACATCTTTTTAATCCAGTCATCTACTTTTGGGCATTTGGGCTGCTTCCATGTTTTTCCAGTTGTAAATAAAGCAGCAGTAAACATGGGGGTGCAGGTATCTTTTTCAATCAGTGTTTTTGTGCCTATGAGTGGGATTGCTGGATCGTAGGGAAGCATGGAGCTACCTTTTAACTTGAATTATCTTAGGATATATTAACAGAGTGCTAAAATGCAAGAGAATATATAATTTGTCTTTAATGTCAATAAGTTTTAGTTTTCCATTTTTTTATTACAAATCAGTAACTTTATTGCTTTTACTTTACTGAACACATACTATATGCAAGGCATTTCATTAAGCACTTTAATGCATTATATCATTTCTAACTCTGTGTGGTAGATATTATTATCCTCATTGCACAGATTCAGAGGTTATCTTACTTCATGGGTTAAATGATCTTATACAGGAGCCCAGATGCTAACACAGGAAGTCTCACATATTTACACTAACATGTATTTGACTGACCTGAGGTCAGTATTCAGTACAACCACCTATAGATTTAGAAAAAAATACTGAGGTATAAGATTACTTTTACAGGCAGTTTGGCATATGTCTGATAAAGGACTGAAATACCGATAATTTTTACTGTATGCCTTCTATCTTTCCTTAACACTGGGCACTAATTTATTATGCTAAATCTATGTGACTTAAGAGTCTCAAAAAAGGAGATTATTGCTATAATTTTGTGTGTCAGATTAGTAATGGTATTATCAATGTCCCTTCAAAATACTATAATAACTTACATGCAAAAAAAACAAAGCGTTTTCCTTATTTGTGCTCAAAAAGTATTAATGAATCTAATCATAAAATTAAATTTTCATTTTAGTTCACATATATGAACTATCCAAAAGAAAATGAAATTTCACCATTTCTTTTTTTTTTTAAGATGTATTTATTTGTGCATACAGAATTGGGGTACAGGCCAGAGGCTCAGGGCAGCGAGAGGCTTTACCAGAGACAGAGTGGGGAGCAGAACAGACAGATCGACGAAGTACACTGCTGAGGGGAGCAGCGGGAGGGTCAGGGGAGGTCTGCCGGGCCATGTGGTCACCTCCGGGGCAGGCGGGAATCGAATTCTTGCGGAAGTGGCTTTAGCTTCTTAGTGCTGTGCTTTAACCTGCTGCGCCACCAGGGAGGGCCTCACTATTTATTTTCTTGAAGTTTATTTGTTCACGCAAAGGGTGACTTCCTAAGATTAATAATTTTAGTCCTTTAGGTTTTATCATACAGTTAGAAAAGAGCCCTTAAAAAACTGAAAAGAAGCTAGTTTTATGTTGACACATACATATTTTGACAACATGAATTCATCATATTGTAGTGGAATATACAGCAATGATAGAAGAGTATGTGTTCCCAAAATAAAGCAGCAACATCCAATTATCTGTTAATTCCCCAAAGTTCACTACAAGTAAGGATTATATCATACAATAGGTTACTGTCTTTCCTCCAATGTGAAAAAAAAAACTATAGGTGGCTGAGAAGAGATACTGTGTAAAGAAAATTTCATTCCTGACATATAACTTGCTGCCTACAGTGTCTGATAAAAATGGTGTAGGCAATCTTCAGCTATTATAGTAGTTGTACTATCTCTCACTGTCATACATATAGTTTTTAAAAGTACACATCTGAAAATAATTTAAATGATATAGCTCCATATCATTTGATGTGATAAGCATTGAACATATTCAGAGATATTATTGACAATATATTATTTGAGGTATTATGTTATGCAGTTTCTAAAATAGGCCAAAGAACTAGTTTACCCTCTTTAAACACTTATTGGAAGTGCCATATAAAATGTTATTTCCTACTGATGTAGTTTACTTTTTTCCCTAGACTGTAATTTTTGTATTGTATTTAATATTTTATCAGTTAATATTTGCTTCCCATAACTTCACTCATGGACTCTATAGATTTTTTTATTCTTAAGATTTAATATTCTCCAACATTTCAACATTCTCCAAGATTGAAAAGTCTCCATCATTTCTATTCTAGTCATGCTAGCACTGTATAGTAATAAAGTTCGTTGTAATCATTTTAGAATTTTACTATCTCAGTTAGCTATTTTCAACCACAATTACAAAACCATAAATAAATAGAAAAGGGTTCATCCCCTGGCCCTCCCTGGTGGTGCAATGGTTAGGACTCAGCACTGCAAGCTAGCTGCAGCTGCCTGAATGCAAGTTCAATCCCTTACCCCAAAGATGACCCACATGGCATGGCAGACCTCTCCTGACCCGCCTACTGCTCCCCTCAGCAGTGTACTCTGTCTCTGGTGAAGCCTCTCACCACCCTTGTACTTCTGGCTTGTATCCCAGTTCTGTATGCATACATAAATAAATTTTAAAAGAAAAGGGTTCATCCCCTTTTCAAAAAAAAAAAAAATGTAAACAAGGACTGCTGCAATGACTTCTCCAGATGACAAAAACAGATTGACCAGAATTGCATTTGGCCATTTAGACCCACCTCTCTAGCTAGCAGTGGTTTCTCATTTGAGCTGTGAATTGTATTAAGTGGACCAATAAGTCAATGACTGGACTGCTCACTGTCAGAGGCAACTAATGAATTCCCTGTCAGTCACCAATAAACTTTGTCCAGTGTATTCTTAAGACAGTGATCTGGATTCCCAGTAGCCTCCTTTTTAGTCACAAATCCAGAATTGCTTCTTTATTAAAAGCTATCTAGGAATTGACAATTATATAGGTGGACTAAAACCTGAAACTCAGTGCTTTAAAATTCTCTTTGTAAAAAATCCTCTCTTTAATAAATATGGGCCATTCACCTTCAAATGTTAAGGTAAACATTACCCTGAGAAAAGCACCTCATGAAGTCAAGAACATAAACTTCAAGAGTGGACAAAGGTGGTAAACTTTATCAAATGCTACTCCCTTCTCATACATGAAGAAAACCAATGTCCAGTGAATTAAAATGCCATCTGTGGTCACTTAACCAGACCTATCACCATTTTACCTCAAGTTTGTGTCCTTGCTAAATCCTTACATTTCAGTGGTTTTTAACTTTATCAAAGTTTCAAATACTGTAATCTCTCTGCAAGTTTAAAGATTAGGTTTCTGCACTTCTTTTTTTGAAAGCAATTTGCAAGTGATAATCAAGCCTGTATGGTAATGGTGAAAGTAGGAAAAAGGAATCCATGATCAAGAGTGAACCGTGAGTTAATAAATATTTTCATATTTAGTCAACTAAAAAAAGGCGAAAGCAACAATACAGTAAAATTGCATTTACGTATCTTACTTCATAATAATGGCTCTAAAAACACTGGTTTTTATTTATTGCTTACCAGGAATTTGTCAGGAGCTCCCTATGGCCAATTTAAATGAAAGATATGTAAATGCATTTGTTTTGTATAGCTAATAGATATACTAAAAGGACTCTTTTCCTGTGCAGGTCCCCTATTCATAAATCGTTGTCCTACATCTGTAACTAAAAGGACCTCACTTCTTTCTGTCAGTCTCTGTTTGACACGTCTCAGACTTCAACAGTTTTAGATTTGCTCTCATTTTCTTTTCTCTTTCTCTTATAATTTCCTTTTCTGCAATTCACCTAATATCCTAATGTAGATTTCCCAGCAACCCATTCCATCTTTTTCTAATGCAAATTAGGAACAACTATAAATTTAACGTTCTTACACTTAGCAGAAAAAAGAAGCCAATTCTCATCCCTTTTGCTATGGATAAATACTAAAATGAATGTGCAAGTGTAGCCTATCAGAGGGAAAAAAATGTAAGTTTTTTTCAGAAGATATAACTACAGAGGGCCTCCCTGGTGGCTCACGGGGTAAGGTCTCAGCACTATGAAGCTATCAGTAGCACTGCAACACAAGTTCGATGTGGGAGCTGGTGCACATGGCACAGCAGACCTCTCCTGTCTTGCCCACTGCTCCCCTCAGCAGTGTATTTCAGAATATAGTGTTCTGAGGTCTACCTACTCTGTTCCCCACTCTGTCTCTAGTGAATCCTCTCACCCCCCACTCCCTGCACTTCTGACCTACACCCCAGCTCATATTTGCATAAATAAACTAAATCTTAAAAAAGAGAAAAGAGAAACGAAAAACTACAAATATAGAGCCCAAAAGAGTGTAAGATCCTCTGTAGATTCTGACCTATTTTGCTGCAACATGGCCAAAAGCACCAAGAAGATTGGAATGGTCAGTAAATATGAGACCCTTTATCATCCCTCCCTCAGGATAATCATGAAGAAACTTGAAATTAGCCAACACACCAAGTACACTTGCTCCTTCTGTACAAGACCAAGTTAAATTGGTGAGCCATGAGACCTGAACTGTGGTTCCTGCATGAAAATGGTGACTAGTGCCTGTCACAGTAAAGATGACATCTGAAGACGGAAGGAATTGAAAGACCAGTAGAAATCCCCCAATTCAAACAATTGTCAGTCTACAATAAATAGGATAATTTAGGTAGAATAACTTTGATTTCTTAATTTTGTTACTTAATGTTCTGACATGCATTGCATTATTTAGTTTCTTAAAAACTTGGCAGTTAAAATCCTCCTAATTTTTACTTGGGAAAAAGAAGTTTAAGGTCTGTATTTACTTTTCCCATATAGTCACCTAAGTTTCAACCCATACAGTCAGTTTCAGTTCAGTATTTAGGAGTCTCTTCTTCCTCTAACCTCCTGTTCTTCCTCTTTGTGCTTTCTCCTTTTGAGCTCATTGTTCTAACTTCCCTGCCAGCACCAAAGTCTCATTTGTTATCCAATAACAAGTCAAAGATCAAAACCTTGGGAATCTTTGCTCTCACCTCCATGCTTGAAGAAAAAAGACAACTGTACTGTATTGATTCCTCATAAAAGCAGGCCTAAATGTTTTAGTTTCTCCAAAGAAATCACAAAAAGTAACAGACTTTTCTACCTTTCCCTTCCCTATGTTAATGGTTTTTTACTACATGCTTGGATAAAATTTAATGATTCTCTTCCTAGTGTAGATGAAAAACAAAAACAATCAAAGAGAATGAACATTTTGCTTATGAGAAAGTTGAAGCCTGAGTTAAGGAAGACTCTCTTCGCATTGCAAATACATAGAAATGGCCCATGAAATAAAAGAATATATCATGACTGAGAATAAAAATGGGGAAAGACAGGTGCCAAAAACTAAAGAGAGTGCCCTCTCTGGTGGCACAAAGGGTTAAAGTGCAGCACTATGAAGCTATCCACAGCAGGTGTAGCAAGAGTTCGATCCCCAGCCATGGAGGTGATCCACATGGCGCAGCAGACCTCTCCTGTCTCCCCTGCTGCTCTCCTTAGCAGTGTGTTTCAATCTGCCTGTTCTGCTCCCTGCTCTGTCTCTGGTGAATCCTCTCACCGTCCCTCCACCTCTGACCTGTACCCCCAATTCTGTATGCATAAATAAATTTATATAAAAAAAAACTAAGGAGAAAGCCACAGACATAACAATGGGTGCATGTACCCTAACAACCTTAACAGGCTTGGTCAGGAGCTACAGCTATGCACTGTTGGGGACTGACCCAGATCATGGAGGGCAGGGCCTTTAGGTAGGAGTGGCATCAGCGAGCAGAGATTTCTAAAGAGGGAAAAGGGAGCAGGCGCGAGGAAGACGGGAATTGGAGTTGGGTGCAAGTCTTCCTGCTCTGGTTTCAGCAAGGGTTTATTTTATACATTTCAAGCAAGCAGTAGTATAACATTAGTATATGAATTGAGCTGAGAGGTCACAGTAATCTTTTTTTTAACAGTTTGGGGTCATATTGACCTTCAGCTGAGATAATAATATGTATTAATCTTAAAATTAATCTATTAAAGTTAAAACAGATACATAAATTTATAAAATTTAAGGTTAACATTGCTATATTTACCACAGTGATAATTGGCTAAAAATAGAGTCCCTTGAACCCTTATTACTACTTAATGAACTTCATTCTCATTAAGATATCCTAGAGAGTAAAGTAAAGTTGAGGGATAGGATGGAGTAATTTTCTTGTAAATCAATCACAAAAAGAGATACAGTAAAGTTCCTTAAAAACTAAATAGAAAGCCTAAGTAATTCCTTAAAAACTAAATAGAAGACTTGGGTGGAGTTCCTTATTTAAAGACTAAACAATAGAAAACATAAGTAGTTCTTTAGAAACTGAATAGAAGGTTTATGTGAGATAGTAGAGTGATGAGATTTGGGTTCTCATTGGGGCAGTAAAAGAACATGTTCTAGTACTGCCTCATATTACAATATTGATTTTGCTATAACAGCCAGTAGTTTTTATTAATCAGCCAATAGTAAAATTATTTGACTTCAAGAGGAATTTCTCACCCTGGTGCAGCGCTTGCATGTCTGGGCCAGGCAGCGCCTTATGAGGCTAAGGCAATCCAGTTGTAAACTGAAGGTTACTCAGAATATTTTGATACTATGATTATACAAAAAAGGGAGGTCATAACATAAATTAGCTTGGAAATTCTGATTTTTCAGAGCATTTCCCCTCCATCCGGATCATGTCTGACAACAGATGTTGCATAGCTTGTGTCACTACACTGGGCAGTTCACCCAACCCCAGAACCTTCCAGGCCAATTTAATAAGGCTTTCACACCCCATATATCCTCAATCATTGCCTCTTGGATGTCTAAAAGGTATCTAAAATGAACATTTCCCAAACTGACTCCTAATTCAAAGAAAAAACTGTTCTCCCCATAATCTTTCATGGTTAATTTATTAGTTACATATTAATAAATGACAGCTCCATTAATTCAATTGATTAGGTCAACAACTTTGAAATCATTTTTTAATCCATTTGGTGACTTATATCTCACCCTGATGTGTCAACAAAACATGATAGCACCACTGACCTTTTCTCACAGTACCTCTTACTATCAACCTGGTCCTCAGCACAATCCTGTTGCCTACTTTATTACAGTCATCTCCTAAGTGCTCTTCCTGCCCCTTTTGAACTAGAACACATCTAAAAATGAAGAAAGGCAAGGTGTCGAAGAGGATCAAGATTACATCCTGCCTCTGTTCACAAAGTACCAGTTGCATCCCCATCTCACTCAGAGTAAAATTGCCAATGTCCTTGCCGTGGCCCTAAGATACTACCTAATCTGACTCTGGCCACCTTGCTGACCTCATATTTTACCATGTTCCTCCATTTTTGTTGCATCTGTCCTACTTCTTGCTCTTTTTCAAACACACCAATCACATTCCTGCTTTTAAGCAGAATTGGTAATGATTTAATGCTAACTTCTTTGGATTTTTGCCTATGGCCAGGCTTTAGATAAGGGGGAAAACTTCCAATAAGGGGCCATTTCAAAAGGCTTTTAAAGAAGATTCTTGGGAGGAAATAGCCCCTCAACTCACATAATTTAATTAAGTTATTATATAACTCAGACACTAACAGTCATGATGTCAAAGGTTTCATTGGACTTTAGCACTAATAATCTTTCCCAGTTCTCCTTTTTCCATGATTCTTTAACAGTCATAGATAATAACTTCTGCTTTTCCTTTTCATCTTGGCTTTAAAGAACTCAGGCAATCAGTATGATCTTTGGGTGGAGTTTTTAAAATGCAGAAGGATTTAGAGGCAAATATTCACCTTAGAGGTAACAGAATAGTCAGTACCTAGTAACCTCTCTTCTTTCAGAGGATTATCACTGATCGAGTTCTCTCTCTGCATTGTCCCTTTTGATTAGAAATGTGGCCTGGGGTCTTTATAACTTTCTTTTCCTTCTTAGCAGGCACAGCAGGTGTTTGCTCGGGACTGAAGGTGGCAGTGCCATCACACATTGTCCACGGCATCAGAGGTCAGGCCCTCTACCTTCCTGTGCACTATGGATTCCACACTCTGGCATCAGACATTCAGATAATATGGCTATTTGAGAGACCCCATACGATGCCCAAATACTTACTGAGCTCTGTGAACAAGTCTGTAGTTCCTGACCTGGAATACCAACACAAGTTCACCATGATGCCGCCCAATGCATCTCTGCTCATCAACCCACTGCAGTTCACTGATGAAGGCAATTACATCGTGAAGGTCAACATTCAGGGAAATGGAACTCTCTCAGCTAGTCAGAAGATACAAGTCACTGTTGATGGTAAGTCCTGCATAAGTGTAATAGGCAGCTGGTTAGTGTGGTAGCCAGCAATCACTTGGGAGATTAGAATTCATAGGTTTTGGGTCCTGGGACTGCAATTTTGGGAAAAAATGTTAATCCTCAAGGTATCAATGCTTATAGGTCAAATGACATTATCTACTTTCTAAGTCTTCCTGGGGCTTAAACTCTGTATGTACAATATATATTTAGTGCCCACTAAAATTAATCAAGGAATAATGATAACTTAATTTTTTTTAAGATTTTATTTTATTTACTTTTTTGTAGAAGAGAGCTAGATTGTTGTTGTTTATTTACTTTTCTGTAGAAGAGAGCTAGATTGTAGAAGAGAGCTAGATTGTTGACCAGAGATGAGGAGGTAAAAGGATCAATCAGAGACAGAATGGGGAACAGAACAGGCAAATATACTGAAATACACTGCTAAGGGGAGCAGCAGGGGGAGAGGTCTGCTGCACCATATGTGGATTAGCTCCCTGACCAGGGATAGCACTCAGGCTATTGCAGTGAGCCATCATGGTGGTAGCGCTGAGATTTAACCCCAAGGCTACCAGGAAGGCCCAGAACTTATTTGTTTGATTGGAGACTATAAAATATAAAGTTATTGATATAAGATAGAAAAAAAAGTCTTATTTTCTGGATATCAGAATGCTCCCTGCAAAGAGCTCTAATTGTTGTCACATGAAGATTTTTAGTTTGGCATACTGCTTGGAGGAGGATGAGACTTGTTCAAGAACATCATACTTAGAGACAAAAGAAGTTGCTATAAATATCTCCAGGGTAGAATAAGATCATTTAACTTTCACACACTTATTTTCTTCACTGAGGTATATAAGTGGAATACCTTATATGCTATATCCAGCACCCATATCCTGACTTTTCCTCTAAATCTGTTTACTTAACAATATCTCTCCAGTTGCTCTGGTCCAAACTTGTGGTCATCATTGACTCCCTTTTTCACCCACACCCTATCTTCAGTCCACATTTTAACCCCACCATTTTTACATTCAAAATATAAGCAGAGTTCACTCACTTCTAATTACCCTCATGCCATCCTGCTCCAGCCCTACCAGCAGTTCTGGGCTAGATTATCCAAATAGCCTGACTCTGGTCACATAAGGAGCTATCTGCCACATTCAGAATAAAAGTACTAATAATGGTCTCTAACACCCCCAACATATCTAGCACCTTCCTGACCTATATACTGCCTGTATTCTTCTCACTCTGTTCTGGCTACACCTCAAGACCTTTGTATATGCTTTTCACTCTGCCTACATTGCTTGTCTCCCAGAATTAGCATGGTCTCCTCCACTCCTTTAGGTTTTGATTAAAATGTCACTTTATTTGCAGAGCTCTTCCTGAATAACTTATATAAAGTCTAAACTCTCTCTCCCAAATGCACACATGTGCATACACACACACACAGAATCTTGACTCCTACTTTATTTGTCACAGCTTTTATTATTTTCACCTGGACATCTTATACATTTTTATTCATTGCTTGTTTTTCTTCCCCAACTAGAATACATGATTCATAGGAGTAGGGATTTCATATTGTTTGCTACAATATTTCTCAGCACACAGGATGTAGAAATAAATGCCTATGAGCAACTTGGGGAGAGAAAAGGAGAAAATTATAAAAGAGATTTTTTTTTTTGAGATTCTCCTGTATCCTGTATTTCCCTATAGTGCAAGCATGCATAGCACAGGTTTACTGTCGAGCAGATAAAGAGAGTCCTAGAGTCCTTGATGGTTTTTAAAGTCCTTTAATGCTCTCCCAGGGAACCAGGTACACAGGAGTATCAGGCAGGGAGGCTGGCATGCAAGGAAACAGGTCCTGGCCAGGCATCAGGGACCAGAGGCTGAGGAAGCAACTGAGCCTCCCAGCCCCCTCTGAATCTTTGAACCTCTACCATGTGGTGGTGTTTCATAATCATCGTGAAATCTCCTAGCCTCCCCTCAAAGTGAAGCCACCCTTTTACCCATCACCTCTCAGCATTTATGCATCCGCGTGCCTACGCTCCATAGACCCATAATCGCAGACCTGCATGCCTCATGCCCCTGCCCCGCACCCCTTGCTCACCTCTAGTGTGTGTGTGATATTTCCATTGACCCTACACTCCCCTGAAATATTTTTATTAAATTATTTTATCCCCCAAAATTTAATGGAGTATTTATTGCTTGCTAATGTAATAAAAATCGATGTTCTTGGGGAAATGCAACCAAAATGCCTTAATAAAAGACTAGAACCTGTACAAAAACCCTCTTGGGAAACTTTGACATCTAGGTTGTACTGTTTGGAAACAGTGCATTTAATATATGATCACAGTACCATTTCTATTCTAATGACTGGGTCTTCTCATACAAGCCTAAATATGTTACTTGCCTAACTTATCGAATAGCACATATATTCCACACAGAGACATATTTGAAATGTAAGCTTTTTCTGCATGATACATGTACACAATTCAATATTTTAAAAATCATGATAGTGCAAACAAAAATTATTCTGAATCCTTTGTTCTTGCCAGAGAAGATAAAGGATCAAATTAAATGACAAGACAGCTGATTACACCAGCTTTAAAAAGGCTGTAGGCTTTAGAGTTACTCAACACTCTGCAAGTTTGCTTTCATCCTCCTTTCTCTTTATCTTCCATTTTCTCCTGTCTTCTCTGGGCTGAAGGATTGGGCCTATTTATGCTTTAATGCACATTTTTCAGTGTAGGAAAATTTGAGTATGAGTCAAGAGAAATTTACCAAAGGAAATGCATCAATCCAGATAAAAGCTTGATAGGAAATTGAAATACAATATTAGAAACAATCATCTGTCACTTACATATCATTACTCTGTGTCCTGTGATCATATGTAGAAGTTTATTAAATGTATATCTCCAAAATGCTGGAGAGAAATATTACCAGATTAGAGATCTCTTTATTTGCCACTGACTGTGTAATGCTGGGCAAGTAACACTCAAGACACTCAAAGATTAATGAAGTTTGCTGGAAATGATCATGGATACCTACATAATTCTCACCTAAATCCAGCAATTTTCAGTAAAAACTCAGGGAATGAATATTTACCCACTTGATAAATATTATAAAGCCCCATTGTGTCCAGAATTTTAAATGTGTTTTTCTTTATGATTTGAAGTTTCAACAAGAATTTCGATTGACTTTGTCTTCTGTATCTCTAAAATGATGTAATCCCAACAACACACTTTATCCTATTTTTAGATTAAGTTGATGTGAAAATGCAGGTTTTGGTATGTTAAAATGACTAACATCATATTGAAACACAAATGTGAAACAATGAAAATATATATGAGTTCGCTTATAGAGAAGAAAAACAAATGGTACACGTGTGATTCTCTAAGACTGCTTCAGTCCCCCACAAGTATAGTATGATATATACGAACTTTCTGTCTTACAGATGATAGGTGGAAGTTTGGTTTCAGCACATCTACCACTATCAGCTGCTATTGGGTCACCAGCACATAACAAAAGTGGGAATAGCTGCATAGATTTTGCTAATGAGAATACGCATTTGTGGTGCTGGGAAAAACATAATGAACAGAAATAAGAAATTTCTCATATTCTCTTCCACTCACTGTACTATCTATAGCGTAAAGGCTTACATTAGAAAGTTTTGAAAGCTAAGTTCTGAAAATAGTTATTTCTGATATAAATGATAGTTATTTCTTTTATCATTTGAATTTCTATTACTTTAAATGTTTCTTCCCTTTAATTGTTGCCTGAACTATCTACATTTACAAAGCATAAAATTTGAAATAATTTCCCAAACTTTCATATGTCAAAGACCTTATACAGTTTGATTATACTTCCATGCTGGCGAGTCATTTCTATTTTCTCTTGTTATTACAGACCCTGTCACGAAACCAGTGGTACAAACTCAACCTTCTACTGGGGCTGTGGAGTATGTGGGGAACATGACCCTCACCTGCCTATTGGAAGGGGGCACCCGACTGGTTTACCAATGGCTAAAAAATGGGAGGCCTGTCCATAGCAGCTCAACCAACTCCTTTTCTCCCGAAAACAACACCCTTCATATTGTTCCAGTGACCAAAGAAGATATTGGGAATTACAGTTGCTTGGTGAAGAACCCTGTCAGTGAGATGGAAAGTGATATTATTATACCTACTATATACTGTAAGTATTCTAGATATAACTATTCATGAGTTTTCTTTTAGAAAGGCTTTACAAGGGTAGTCACAGAGATTTTTACCACCAAAAGTAAAAGTAGTCCAGGATTAGTGGTAATTCTGCTTTCCAAACATTGTCTTGTCACAACACTACTTAGAGATTAAGTTGAGATATTCTCCCAGGGTCTCAAATGATATATTTTGTGACTTAGTCCGTTATGATGTCTTATTTCCATTGGGATGTAGAAACCTCAATTTCAAGAAACTAGAGCCATGCAGTAGGCACTAATTTTTCATTCCCAAGGGGAAGGAGTTGGTGATGATTATAAACTAATGGAGGGATGAGCAGACCACAGGGAGAAAAGCATACTTTATGATTATGCATAGGTAGGACATCCCCAGATTTGGCTGTGCTCTGCCTACTTCTCACCTCTATTTTTAGAGACAGAACAGAGGGAGGATCACAGAGAACACTTAATTTCTTCACAGTAGAATACTCAGATTCCCAGGGAATCAGCAGTTATTTCAGATTTCATTTTTCTTTGGTTTCTTTCTCTGTTATTTTTGATGATTGCTATTGTTGTTTAACCTCATGTACAGTTAAGTTCATCAAACTCTTTAGTTCATGTCAAAATATCATCACCAACCCAAAGAAGATCCCTGATTTTCTTTATTGTGTTATTTTCCCCACATCCCTGTCCTCCATCACACCACCTTTCAAGTGTTTAATATTTTATTTCAGTTTCAATTTTGCCCAGGTTTTCTCAGTCTCCACACACACATTTTGGGCTGGACAGTTGTTTGAGGTAGTAGCTGTCCTTTGTATTGTAGGAAGTTTAGCAGAATCCCTGTTCTCTACCCACTGCATAGCAGAAACTCTTCCCTACATTTGTGACTAACTAAAAACATTTCTGGACATTGGCCTTATGTCTCTGGTGTGGATGTCTGGTGGAGGGGCACAATAGCTCTACTAGTTGGAAACTATTGCCTATCATATTGGGAAGTCTTCTTACCAGAGTCCCATATAGCTTGACACATAGTTACAACTATTTAACAAGAGAAGTGAGGTATATAGCAAGGAAAACTCTCACCCCTTTGATATGAGGATGAAGGTATCAGCTGGTTGACCTGTAAGGTAGAATTAAGCCTGGAAAATATATCCAATCATTCATCAAGTGACTCCTTTAGGGAAAGGCCCTAAAGCATAGAAAGTAGACTAACCAAATGGGAAATTGCTCCTGTCATTATCCATGTGATCTTAAGTCTCTTTGTCTTTCTAAGCCTTATCTGCAAAGTGGGGATAGTTAAAACTTAAGCTGTGAGTATCACCTCTGGTGCAGGGACAATAACTCATGCTTAAGTGGCTTTAGCTTCTTAGTGCTGTGCTTTAACCCACTGCACCACCAGGGAGGGCCCAGAGCCTGTTTTGATAATTGATACATCTGTATTCTGTTCTGATTAATAGAACAATGAGTCTTTCTGAGAGTTAGAATGAACTCTCCAGGAAGAAATGCCAACATATGTTCATCATGTTAGGTTTTCCTAACTATATAAAGCTTAAGGATAAAACTGAGCTCCACCAATGGCAAATGGAACTTCTGGGAGGAGTGTGGTGATGCGGTAGGTAATAAGGTTTACTTGGATCAGCAAAATTAAGGCATGGGAAATGGAGTCATCGAATTTTGAAACTAGAGTTATTTCTATCCTGTATTTTGGGGGAAATTCACACTATAAAATACATGAAATAAAATGTTAACAGATATTACACCTAAATATACAAAAGAACATAGTGATAGGAACAAGAACTCAGAGGCCAAAAGGGTTGGGTTTAGATCCTGGTTCTACAACCTTATCTCTCTGTGCCTCAGTTTCTTCATCTATATAATGGTGGTATTGGCAGTACTTAGTTCATAGGGTTATTGTGAGGATTAAGTCTCTTGCTACACACACATTTCTAAGAACAGTAACTGGCTTATAATAAGTACATTATAACTGTTAGTCATTATTATCACTGTTATTATTAGTGTGTGGAAATTCAGAGAAAGAAACATTGCTTTGGCTGGAAATTAGCTTCTTTTCAGAAAATAACAGTTGAGATGGATCTTAAATAGTGTGTTTAATTGGGGCAAATGGCAATGCCTGGGAACACCATTCCAGGTAATGGGAACAGCAGGAACTCAGATACAACATAGAGATCAAAGTATCTGGCAACTCCTAGTTTGATTAGAATGTAGGAGACAGGGAGGAGGCAGTAGAAATGATGCTAGAATAGATTTGTTTAAGTCAGATTTTGAGGAGCTTTGAACACCAGGCACCATATGGTAAACAATGAAGGAAAAGTTATTTCTTAAACAAAGGTGCATTTGAAAACGTTTGGAGAATGGTTTGTAAATAAATACTTATACATATACTAGGCTAACTCAAGGATTGTTCCTCAAGAGAGGACATTTTCAAGATATATTACAAATATCACACAACTACAAAAAAGATGTATGTAAACAGATAAGGGGGAAAAAAGATGTATATAGGAGGGAAAGAAAAGGAGCTGTGATATATTTTAACCTATGATATAGAGAGGAGAAAACAAATCACTAAAACTATGCAGTGATTAAGAATATTTAAGAACAATTTGAAGGTATTTTTTTTTCCTGAAAATGTTCACTTAGAAATAGAAAAACTGCATACTTTGTTTAATTCAATGTCGGAGTATGGAATCAATTAGCTACTAGTTAAACCTAGTTCAAAATTCAACATCTCAAAGGTTAACCAGCCCCTCACTCAGAAAATGAAGAAATTAAAGAATATGAAAGAAGAAAATTTGACAAATACCAAATAATATAAGTAAACTACATAAGATTTGTCCTAGTCATTGCTCATATTATGTTTAGCAATGACATTATTTTTACAGCTGAATTCTTAACTATATTTTACAGTAGTTGACTCATTATATTCAGATAACATTTTGAAAATATTCTGTATGCCTTAAAGCATAAACGGAGGTAGAATTACACATATAGTTTTAGTGTGAACTGAAGTGAAGTATTCAAATTTGGTGCAATTTATACTTGTATTTATATTTTGACAGAATAAAATATTCTTATATAAGTTAAATAAAACTCCTGTTCAACTCCAGTGAGTGCAGACCTAAGCATTCAAGTAACTTAAAAATAGTGAAAGAAGGCCCTCCCTGGTGGCGCAGCCGGTTAGAACACAGCACTGAGAAGCTAAAGCCACTTCTGCATGAGTTCAATTCCCGCCTGCCCCGGAGGTGACCACATGGCGTGGCAGACCTCTCCTGACCCGCCCGCTGCTCCCCTCAGCAGTGTACTTCGTAGACCTGCCTGTTCTGCACCCCACTCTGTCTCTGGTGAGGCCTCTCACCACCTCTGAGCCTCTGACCTGTACCCCAGTTCTGTATGCACAAATAAATAAATCTTAAAAAAAAAAAAAGAAAATGTAAGCAAAGTAAATTAAATCTAGAATTATAGAGAGGCACATCCTTACATTATTCTTTATTGTTTGGTCTAGATGGTTTACAGTTACATAGAAAAGGCATAAAATGCAAAATAAGGAATTAGACCATTATTATGTACTGACTATTAATTCTGAGATGCCACCATTCAGTGTAGGAGACAACCAGAAGTGAGAGTGTGTTGGAGCATTCCTTGTCAACTAAAGCTTGATGATGTGACATCTTATCATGTATGGAGTTTTTTATTTTTTTAAAGATTTATTTATTTATGCATACAGAACTGGGATACAGGTCAGAGGAACAGGGGCAGTGAGAGGCTTCACCAGAGACAGAGTAAGGAGCAGAACAGGAAGACTGACAAAGTACACTGCTGAGGGGTGCAACAGGTGGGTCAGAAGAGGTCTGCCGTGCTATGTGGGTCACCTCTCTGGCCAGGGATCAGAACTCATGCTGAAACAGCTATAGCTAGCTTCATGGTGCTGTGCTTACTAGTTGTGCCACCAGGGAGGGCCCTTTTTTTTAAAAGATTTATTTTTTTATACATACAGAACTGGGGTACAGACCAGAGGTGCAGGGGCAGTGAGAGGATTCACCAGAGACAGAGGGAGTAGAAGAACAGGCAGATCAACGAAGTACACTGCTGAGGGGAGCAGCAGGTGGGTCAGGAGAGGTCTGCCGCACCATGTGGGTCACCTCTGGGGCTGGGATGGAACTCATGCTGAAGTGGCTTTAGCTTCTCAGTGCTGTGCTTTAACCCACTGTGCCACTAGGGAGGGCCCATGGATGGAGTTTTGTGGATAATACAGTTGTTGTGCGCCAGAGATACAACTTCAGACTTCCAGTGTGAAAGCCCCCTTTGCCAACAGCAGTGAGTGCAAGTGACTGACTCTTTCACTGTACCCACTTCCTCACCTCCCTGTCTCCACTGACCCCAGGGTACCTCAAGCAAGAAGGGTGAGGTGAATGAAATGAAATTTTATGTATATAGATAAGCTAGAAAAACGTAGTGCAATAAATGTTACTCCTCCCCCCCCTTTTTTTTATTTCAATTGTTTCAGCCCAAGCTGATACTGGTAGCAGGTAGCAAGCAGTTTTGGAAAACCTGGTTAATGTAGAAGATACCTGCTATGAGAAAACTGAAAAACTACCTTGAGAAGAATTTTTTCTTTCCCAAAATATAGCTATTCTTTAATTTGATATACTCTATTTTCTACCTGAAAATATTTTCCTCACATTATTTCTTCTCTCTCCTTCAATCTATCTTTAAATACCTATCATAGATTTAAATGGAAAAAACTCTGCAAGATATTGCATAAACAATTACAGGTACATGAAAATAACATTTACATATACAAATAATCTTTTGTTTTGCTATATATTATATTTTAATCTGACAAAGTAAAAGTAAGATCTTTCTTATGTAAGATTTCAGACCCCGCTCTTGCTATTAGCACAAAGTGTGGTGATACACAGTATGGAAAGTATGAAAATAGGGGAGAAACCCAGAATCACAACTGAAAATTTTAAATATTATTCTCTAAGCTCCAGAAACTTTTATGAGTTGTTTGAGAAATTACAATCCCAATTTCATAATACATGTCTCCTATATGCAGATGGAATTCTTTCTCCACATTTTTTAGGCAGTCTTTTGAAATCTCATAGAGAAACCATTGTTATCAGTATAGATTAATAGCAGGTTGTAGAAAGAGGAAAATTTACAAATATGGGTCCATTTTATACATTGTAAAGTTGAATTATCAAGGTAATATAACAAGAAAGATTGGTATTCTTATTAAGCAGTAATTGTGAATATAGTATCAGTGTATTTTCTTGATTGTTTTTATATTCAAATACAGAACACTTCACTTAATCAATATCCCATCTTACTAATATTTATTCATTCACTTGTTCATTTATTTACTAATTCACTCATAGCTTGATTTGACTTTAAAAAACAATTACTTAGTATAGTAATTGTGCTAAGCGATTATTACCTATCACGTAACATAAAAATAAACCCAGATTCATTAGTTTATTAAATTTTCTTACTATCCCTATTTTAGCCTTGTTTTATTGTTTGATTGAATGGTTGTTTGGTTTGGGGGTTACAAGAATTAAAATAAATAATCTGAAGATTTGTAATTTATTTCTACAATTGATATAGAATCAACATGTTTGTAATCTTTATAACTCCATGCTAACTGAATATGTACCTTGGTTGATGTTTTTCCATCTCTCTTTCTTCACCTGGTAACATCCTCTTCTGCCTTCACAACATCTTCTCCGGAAAAGCTCACTTGCTCACATGTTGTCTCACCTCTTCAGTGTCACTAACAGCTTCGTTGTGCTCCCGCAATAAGCTGTACACATTTTTCCATACTTACTCCCTACATTATATTTTCCTGAGTCTCTTCCGCTTATAAGCATTCCAACTTCAAATTGGAGCTCTGCATGATTCATCTTTGTATCCATAGGACAATTCTTGACCTAGATTAAGAACTCAATAGAGGTTTCTTGAGCTTAATCAAAATGGAACAGATTAGCTTCCTTCATATAGTTTTCAGTGTTACATAATGATGCTGTAGGTTAAATTCCCATTATAAGGTAACGGCTTCTTAGTTACAGTTCTTGACTCTTCATTTTTCCCCCTGACCTTCCTCAATAATCAAGTGAAGGCCATATTCCAATATTCCCCCACAAGGTTCATATCATAATAGAATTTCAGTGTGAATGACCTATTATGTTTTCTTAAAACACTATTTCTATGACAGTTACCTTCACGAAAACAGATTTGTTTTTTTTGTTGTTTTTTTTTTTTTTGGCAGAAAAGTATAGCAAAATCTATCAAGATTGACAATATATTTATAAGTTTATGATGTCATAATCTAGTATTGGCCTTGGTAGAATGCAGTGTCAAGTCGGTAATTCAGACAGATATCTACTTGTAGTTCATGAATTGTGTATGCCTTCCAGCTCCAAGTGTAAATAATAACCTGATAACTACTGCATTTTGTGTGCAACATATGGCACTGCTGCAGGGAAGTACTCTAAGTGATAAAAATTACAGGGAAAAAAGGTCATTCACAGTAAATACTTACCATCTGCTCCCAAGCAGGGTGAAAGCAGCACCATGATGGAAATTTAGAGACTATTCCCACCCAGCCATAAATTCTTAAAGAGAACAGATGATATGTGATTTTACAAGTCATTTAGTAAACAGCCATCCTGAGGCAAAGGTCCATTTTTATTGGGAGCTTTCTGCTAAAGGCAAGAAACTGAACCATCCAAAACAGAGTTATCTTTCTGCTTTCATCTTCAGTGTTAAAGGTCACACTGGTTGAATCACTTTAAACATCTTTAACTGGATTGCCCATCTGCGTGAATAATGTACTAAATTGAACATCAAAGTAAAGAGTCAACCTGAACTTCCAAAGAAAAAGGAGCTAACACCTTTGTAAGAACAAAACAAATTGTAAGCAGTGTGTTATGTACAAAAAGTAGATAGAAGATGCTGGATAGATGGATAGATAGAAAGATGATTGATAACTAGCTAGCTAGCAATAAGATAGCTTAAGATAGAATAGAATTAAAGAATTAAACTGAATAACTGTATTTTTATAAACCACACTTCACTACTTTACCAGAACTTCTTGTTCTGTTTTAAGCTTCAGTTTTTGTGCCCAAATTCAGGTCTCTGGTTTTCTACTATCTGAACATAACTAGTGATCCTTGGTTGGTGGCCTTTGCTTCCTAATGTCATTTTAACGATGACCATAGGAAAGGGCCCTCCTGCTACATGAGACTGAGATAATAGTAACAGGAACCACATCTTTAATATTTCAGATTCCCTCATCGTACCCAGAACAGTATCATGCACACAGCAATATTTCAAAATTGATTTTGGCTGAGTAAGAGAAAAAAACCTTTCATTCCCATTACACAGCTTACTACCTGGTGGAATTCAGAGTAAGAGGGTTCCCCTTACATAACACAGATCTAAGTCAATGGTTTTCTCTGAAACCATATCGTAACCTAAAATGAGAGAACAGTGTAACAAGGTTCTAGTGCAGTCACAGGAAAAGTCATCTGTTTTGTATTTGTTTTTTGTTGTTGTTGTTGTTTTTTCACTTTAATCCTCCATGTCCAGAGCCTGATTGCTTCAGATTGAAAATATTAACTTCTGTGTTTGTTTTCTGAGTGCCAAGTTATCTCCTGTGTACATATGAATATAAATCTGTTTCTTTCGCATTTCTCTGGGTCTTTAGCAAGCAAATAGTGTAAAATGGAGGTTTTCTAGTTAAGTGTATTGTTTTGTGTTTTCAGTTTTTATGATAGCCTTGGGGAATTTGTTTCCTCAGTGGTAGATTGGTCAGAAAATACAGACATAATAGAAAACCAGTCTCGAAATATGCAAATTTAAGGCTAGCTTGCCAATATTCAAAATAGCTTTATCCTAGCATAAACCCTAGTGTTTCAGAAGTAAAAAGAACCTAGTCAGTATTCATTTAGTCAATCTCTGCACAGTAAAGATGAGGTAGTAAAACCTGAAAAGTTTAAAAGACTTCTAAAAAACACTTAACTAATCTTGACAAAATCAAGATCAAACCTACTTATCCTACTATCTAATCACTACACTGAGATGAAGTCAGTTCCTTATATTTGGAAATCAGAACCTTTGAGATTAAATTATTGCTGAGCAAACCATCTATAGCTTTATCTAGTTTGTATATGTCATGAAGGTAAGAAATGCATCTTACATTGTTCTTTTTTTTTTCTCTCATGTATAGACTAAATGTGTTACCTTATATTTAGTATTTCTCATATGCAGTGTTTTTTAATTGACTATTTTATTTTAATTGAGTACAGAATCAATATATAATAGACAATTTGTTGTGGAACTAATAACATAGTTAGACAAGAAACTATTTTGTGATAGAAAGTTATATCACTTAGGCTTTTTAGAGAGATAATACAAATAATTAAATGTATATATTTAGGAGTCCCAGGTTTTCTATTTAATTGCTTTGTGAACATGAACAAATAAAAATGTTAAATCTCTTTCTCTTATAATAGGAATAATAAATCTCTCTTAGAGGTTGAATGTGGTTAACTGTATAAGTACTTTAAGTAATTTCATGTAGCAAATCTTCAATAAATGTTGGATATGATCA